CCGATGATGGGGCACTATTCCTCCCCCACTGACACCGATGATGGGGCACTATTCCTCCCCCCACTGACACCGATGATGGGGCACTATTCCTCCCCCCACTGACACCGATGATGGGGCACTATTCCTCCTCCCACTGACAGACGATGATGAGGCACTATTCCTCCTCCCACTGACAGCGATGATGGGGCACTATTCCTCCCACTGACACCGATGACGGGGCACTATTCCTCCCACTGACACCGATGACGGGGCACTATTCCTCCCACTGACACCGATGACGGGGCACTATTCCTCCCACTGACACCGATGATGGGGCACTATTCCTCCCACTGACACCGATGATGGGGCACTATTCCTCCCACTGACACGATGATGGGGCACTATTCCTCCCACTGACACCAATGACGGGGCACTATTCCTCCCACTGACACCAATGATCGGGGCACTATTCCTCCCACCTCCCACTGCACTATTCCTCCCACTGACACCAATGACGGGGCACTATTCCTCCCACTGATACCAATGACGGGGCACTATTCCTCCCACTGATACCAATGATGGGGCACTATTCCTCCCAATGACACCAATGACGTGGCACTATTCCTCCCACTGACACCAATGATGGGGCACTATTCCTCCCAATGACACCAATGACGTGGCACTATTCCTCCTACTGCAAAATTACAGTTATGAAGTAGCAACGAAAATAATTTTATGGTTGGGGGTCACCACAACATGAGGAACTGTATTAAGGGGTCGCGGCGCTAGAAAGGTTGAGAACCACTGATGTAAACCAATTAATTTACAGGTATTGGGATTTTTTTTTAGCAGACATGTAGCAGAATACATGTTGGCCTAAATTTATGATGAAATTTGATTTTTTTTTTTTCATTTGTTGCTGGATATGTTTTATAGCAAAAAGTAAAAAATATTGGGGTTTTTTGTTTTAAATTGTCGGGGTTTTTTTGTTTATTGCACAAAGAATAAAAACTGCAGAGGCGATCAAATACCGAAAGAAAGCTCCATTTGTGGGGAAAAACTACACAAAACAAGTCCCGCTGAATGTATCTCCTGCCTACTTCATATTTTACATACTTTTTTTCTTGGACTGTACCAATACCAATATCTCTACAAGTACGCACAGTGGCCCACCTCTACACTACATGCTATCTTCCGCAATTACCACCCTTCAAAATAACCGTGAGAATTGCAGCGTATTGCAACGTACATAGCAGCAGCTGCAGAGGTTTGGAATTTTTTTTTTTTTAAAAAACTACTTGTCCAAGGGACTAAGTCGGGGGCCAAATCTACTTGGCCCTCATGACAATCTACTTGTCCTGGTACAAAAAAAAAAAAAACATTTTTGCCAGGATGGAAAATATGGGTTGATGTTTTTTATTGGGCAGAGGTGCTTTTAGGAATGTCTAAGGCTTTTAAAAATTAAAGGGGCTTTATGACAACTTAAACTTTTTAATGTTTTTTCTTTTTAGCCTAAAAATTCCTAAAAATGCCCTGAAATTATATATTTTTTAAAGCAGAGGCCCTAGAGAATAAATTGGTAGGTGTTGTAATTTTTTTTATGTCACATTGTATTTGCACAGTGATTTTTTTTCAAACACAATTTTTTGGGAGAAAATAAACTTTCTTTTTAATTTTAACGCAATAAAAAACCCAATACATAACACACTTTTTTGGTAAAATATAAAAGATGATAAAATAGATACCAAACATGTCACGCTTTGACATTTCGTACACCTGTGAAACAGCAACAAACAGCATACATTTTGCTATCCATAGGCAACACTTTAAAAGCCTTTACATTTTACCACTTTAAATTTACACAGGAGGTCTGGTGCTAAAGTTACTGCCCATGATCTGATGTTCATGGTGATACTTCACATGTGTGAGACGATCGCTGTTTGCGTGCGGGACCGACACATACATTCACCTTTGTGCAGGGGGACAGGGGTGCTTTAAATTTTATTTTTTTCTTTTTACGCTGTCACTTTAAAGGATAAGTTCAACTTTTTGCCAAAAATATTAAGTGCACATTTTTATGCAGGTAAAAAAATGTGCATTTAGTAAGTGCACAGTGGTAGGTAGGGGAACCCCAGAGAGGCTTACACTGTAAATAACATAGCATGCAGCATATATTCAGAGCTCCAGAAAGTGTTCAGTCAACTGTGAGATTGGAAAGTGGTCAAGCCAAGGCTGCCAGGTATGTCAAAATTTATCATGTGCATCATTAAGGATCACCATGACTTTTTCATTAGTCATTGTACCTTAAATGGGGTGCTTTACCTTGTCAAAGCTGAGCCAGCAATTTACACTCCCTCGCTATCGTCTGCTTCGTCGCCATGAAAATATGGGTGATTAGTGTGCACTCCTGACTGGTGACGTGGTGCAAGAGCACTTTCCAGGGGTCCTTTTGCAGAAGTTCACCGTTGTAATTAAATGCTCTATGCAGATAAGTGGCTTTAGTTTTTTCAAAAATACTGCACAGCATTATAATTTGGAGTATAATTTAGGTATCATACCTGTAGGCTCAACATGGCCCAACCACAGCCTAGCTGAAAAACTACTAAAATCCCAGTGTTTTCCCCATGTAGTAAATCTTTGAAATGGAAACCAATGATTTCAAAGTATAGTTAAAAAAAAAATCGTACAACGCAGCAAAAATTAAAGAGAGTTTTTGGGCAGTTTTACTTTTATTTAGCTTTTTGAAAGTTTTTATAAATACCATATCATTTTTTCTTTAGAAGTCTATAAATGTAAGCTGTATCGAGCAGGGCCCTCTGATTTTTCCTTTATTGAATTGTATTGTAATTGTACTGTCTGCACTCATGTTGTAAAGTGATGCCCAAACTGTTGGCGCTATACGAATCCTGTATAATAATAATAAATACTATGTTTGTTTGTTTCTAAAAACTAATGCTGTGATCACAATAAAAGAAAATTAGGCAGTCTGCTAGTAATAAATCTATCATCCATCCCCTCTCTTGAAAGCTTTACATCAGTTTTTATATGTATCTTTTTTCTTTTTTTTTTGCTGATTAAAGCACTAATCACATGCCTTAGGGAATCTCTGGTAACCAAGGGATGTGCGGTTCAGTCACAGGGATGTAAGTCATCTGAACCTGGGCCTAGCATTGCATTTCTGACTGTATGCTAAACTGACAGATATCTGGGGACTGCTGTCATGCATGTAATGCTATCTTTCATTCACAGAACTATTTTGTAGCCAAGAAAAGCGCGATCAAGTGAAACTAATCTACAGGCCACAAGGCTGTATCCTCGCATAATACTGATGTGACTAAACCATTTAAGTGTATTGTCTGTGTCACTGCTTATTTTGCTCTTATTACTTCTAGCATTTTGATCTCCGAATATCAGCTGTCATCAAGGTTAGAAAAGCTTTAGGGATTGTTTGATAGAATAGGTTTGACAGCCCTGCTTTTTTACAGGTATTTTGTGCTTATTGGCTGTCTAGTAATTATTTTGTGTAATAATTTGTGGTTCTGTCTGCAAAAAGTGACATTTTTGTTGTAATATTTGTATGTGTACTGAAGAAGGCCCCTTTTACACAGGCGGACTGATCGGGTCTGCCTGTCCATTTTTCAGGGGGACCTGATCGGACCCTCAATTGTTCTCTATGGAGCAGCTGGTGTAAAGGGACATGTGTCCATTTACACCCGCCTACATCCGATATGCTAAACACAGACAGATGGGGATGTTCCCCATCTGTCTAGTGCAGTGGTCTCCAAACTGCATCCCAGGGGCCAGATGCGGCCCTCTGCTTGCTTTTATCTGGCCCTTGGGGCACTATTTTATACACAGATACCAACAATGGGGCATAATCTCCCCCCCCAAATGACACTCCTGAAGGGGTGTTTTTCCTCCCACTGACACCAACAATGGGGCACAATTCTTCTCACCAACACCAATGATGGGTCATTGTTTTTTTCCCTGATGTGGGGAACTTTTATACTTTCAATGGCTACAGTTCAACCCCCCTAAAGGGGGTCTGAAGGACAATAAAGTGGTCCCGTGTTTTGAAATTTTGGAGACCCCCTGGTCTAGTAGATTGGATCAGATGGCAGTCAGGTGTAAACGGACAGGCAGTCCATTTACATCCAATCGCCCATAGAGGAGAGAGTGCTGGGTCCATGTCCATAATGCATAAGCAGAGTGGACATGGGCCACTCATTCACCTGCTCAGCGGGGATGCGTGGACGGATCCCCCGCTGAACAAGCAAACTGCAATGAAGTCTGCCCCGTGTGGAAGGGACCGAAAATGGCTTATAAAAATACTCTTTAAAGACAGAGGCATATGAGCTAGTGTTGGCTGACCAAGAGATGCTCTTTTCTTTGGCTTCCGTTGTTTGTGAAGGGGTGAAAAACAGTTCATTGGACTTGTGATGTAATTTATTGTCCTTTTTTATATGGTTGTTATCTACTTGCTAGCTGCGGTGTTGGTTGGTTGTGCACCAAAGAAAGGGAAGGGGGGCACCCTGTCTGACATTGCAACTAATGTTAGAGTATTGTACCTTACAAACATAATGCTTCCCTGGATACTGTGGAAAACACTGTTGTTTTTTCCACTGGATATAACGACCAACGTAGAGTGATCAATAGAGTTATTAACACACTGGCCAATTCTACTACAAGACAATAAATTACAAAGAGTATTGGCAAAAAGACTGAAAGTATTATTATTTATTTATTAATTACAGGTACATATGTAGCGCCGTCAATTTACGTCACGTTTTACCTACCGCTTTACCACCGGAGGGCTTTGTTCTAAGGTAAGTATTTCATAATGTGCTAATATGCAATACATACTAGCACATTATGCCATTGCCTTGCAGGGGATTTGTCTTCAAAGGCTGTTGTCTACTACCACTTTAAAATTTTATTTTTGATATTTGATGTTACAATGAATGTTAACTAATGCATATTTTCTTCTCTCAACAGATAAACGCGTTGAAAAATGGCCACTGATGCAATCTCCACTGCCAACACTGGCTATCAGCACTCTCTATCTCCTCATTGTATGGCTGGGCCCCAAATTCATGAAGAATCGAGAACCTTTCCAATTACGCTACTTGTTGATTGCCTACAACTTTGGGATGGTGATCCTGAACTTCTTTATATTTAAAGAGGTTAGATTATTTCATTAGTTTCATTATAGGACCAGTGCTGTTATAGTTTCCCCATACACAGTGCCCCTATGTAGGAATTCCTTATAACTATGTGTATTTTATAACTAGCTATAACCTTAGTCAGCATATAGTCTGCAGCTCCTAAACTGAATTAACAATTTTGTTATTATATTATTTTCCAATAATGGTATGAAAAGCTACAGTCTGTATTCAAAAATGAGTGTTTACATGCTTTTTTGTATAAGGAACCACTGCCTTGCTTGCAGTCATGGTATTTAAAGACTGCTCAGTATTGCTAGTGGCTGGGACAGGTCCATTTAGCCAAGTGGCAAAGATTCTTGAAGCCATGGCAGTAGGAAGTTGGCTCATAGGAATCTGCTACGCAATCTTGCTGTCTTAAAGCGGAGCTCCACCCAAAAGGGGAAGTTCCGCTTTAAGCCTTTGTCCCCGCTCCCCATTAATGATTGGCACCTTTGGGGAGCGGGTACCCGAATCTGACAGGTACCCGCTCCCACTTCCGCTGTGATCGCCTGCGCCTCCCTCCCCCGTAGTCTTCTGGGACACGTGACAGGTCCCTGAAGACTACGGGGCCATTCACAAGGCGCAGCGCTTCTCACGTATGTGCCCACACTGAAGATGCCGGTGCCAGGGAGAGAAGACAGCCAGTGAAACCAGTGGTGTTGAGGGCACCGTTGGACCGAGGGACAGATGGCGGTAATTTAAAAGTCAGCAGCTACAGTTTTTGCAGCTGCTGACTTTTATTTTTTTTTTTTTAGGTGGAACTCCGCTTTAAGGTATGTTCAAACCAGATGTGCTGGGACTGCGTTGGGTGGCTTTTCCAGCACAGTCCCTCCTATGTGCCTGGTTCACACCGCTGCACTGCAATGGTGTGCAGGCACAGTGCACTGAGAAAAAGTACTGCATGTTATCTCTTTGTAAAGTCCCATACAGTACTCTGGCCTATTTGTGGACAGGGATGGGTTTAGAGCCAGAGAATCTGAGGACTCTGGGACACGTCCTCTCTGGCCATTCAGTTATACTGGCCAATTCACTTAAGGTGGGCATTGATGGATCGAAATTTGGTCGGTTCAGCAGGGACTGGCTGAATTTCAATCCATGTGTGTCCATGCCTGTTGACATATATCGATCATTAGATTAACTTTTGTGAAACGGGCTTGTTGGAAAACCTTTCTTCATCAGCCGGCTGCAACTGCTCATCTGTGTTTTCTGACAGCGGAGAGTCTGCTGGCTGATCAAAAAAAAAGTACCGTATTTGCCGGCGTATAAGACGACTTTTCAACCCGTGAAAATCTTTTGAAAAGTCGGGGGTCGTCTTATACGCCGGTATACGGCGAGCCGGTGTCAGGGTGGCACTTTTTCGAGGGGCGGCGCGCGCCCCCCCCCCTCCTCCTCCTCCAACGCACACCAAGTACAGGGGTGGGCAGAGGGGCTGCTGTACCTTACCTGGCTCCGGTCCCGGTCCCACGACGATCCGGTCCAGGAAGCGCGGCTGCTCCTTCTTTCAGTTCGGCCGCTCGATGGTCCCCGCCGCCTGCTCGGCTCCGCCTCCTCACTGGTGATTGGGCGCCAGCACTGGAAAGGCACACAGGCGACCAATCACCGGCGAGTAGGCGGAGCCGAACGGCCCCCGCGAAAATCAAGCGGCCGAACTGAAAGAAGGAGCAGCCGCTCCTCTCCCCCACTGACACTAACGATGGGGCACTATTCCTCCTCCACACTGACACCAATGATGGGGCACTATTCCTCCTCCACACTGACACCAACGATGAGGTACTGTTCCTCCCCCACTGACACCAACGATGGGGCACTATTCCTCCTCCACACTGACACCAACGATGAGGTTACTGTTCCTCCCCCACTGACACCAACGATGGGGCACTATTTCCTGATGGGGCACTATTCCTCCTCCACACTGACACCAATGATGGGGCACCATTCCTCCTCCACACTGACACCAACGATGAGGTACTGTTCCTCCCCCACTGACACCAACGATGGGGCACTATTCCTCCCACTGACACCAACGATGGGGCACCAATTCCTCCTCCACACTGACACCAATGATGGGGCACTATTCCTCCTCCACACTGACACCAATGATGGGGCACTATTCCTCCTCCACACTGACACCAATGATGGGGGCACTATTCCTCCTCCACACTGACACCAACGATGAGGTTTGTTCCTCCCCCACTGACACCAACGATAGGGAACTATTCCTCCCCCACTGACCACCAACGATGGGGCACTATTCCTCCTCCACACTGACACCAATGATGGGGCACTATTCCTCCTCCACACTGACACCAACGCTGAGGTACTGTTCCCCCCCACTGACACCAACGATGGGGCACTATTCCTCCTCCACACTGACACCAACGATGAGGTACTGTTCCCCCCACTGACACCAACGATGGGGCACTATTCCTCCCACTGACACCAACGATGGGGCACTATTCTCTCCTCCACACACTGACACCAATGATGGGGCACCATTCCTCCTCCACACTGACACCAACGATGAGGTACTGTTCCTGACACCAACGATAGGGCACTATTCCTCCCCCACTGACACCAATGATGGGGCACTTTTCTCCCCACTGATACCAATGATGGGGCACTATTCCTCCCCCACTGACACCAATGATGGGGCACTATTCCTCCCCCACTGACACCAATGATGGGGCACTATTCCCTCCCCCCACTGACACCAACGATGGGGCACTATTCCTCCCCCACTGACACCAATGATGGGGCACTTTTCTCCCCACTGATACCAATGATGGGGCACTATTCCTCCTCCCCACTGACACCATGATGGGGCACTATTCCTCCTCCCCACTGACACCAATGATGGGGTGCGTTGGAAGAGGGGTAGTCTTATACGGCGAGTATAGCTCAAACCCTATATTTTAACAGGAAAAGTAGGGGGTCGTCTTATATGCCCAGTCGTCTTATACGCCGGAAATACGGTAATCCACTGTATGTTACCCCTTAGTCACACAATGCTAGGCTGAAATATTGAAAATGAGGAGTGTTGTTAGATAAGCTACTGTGCATGTAGCCGCTACATTTACTCATCCAGTTTTGGGGGACGTTACTCTTAACTGTGATAACTTGCTGAACCGCAGCGGCTAAAGCACACTAGCTTTCTGTGTACTATAATAGGTCTGTGATGGATTAGGCTGTGACCACTCAGCTGTATCTGTCCTGCAATTCTGGAGAGAGAAGCTGACGTACATACATCAGGATTTTAAAAGACCTCAATCTGTGCAACAGGCCTTGCTTTTAGTTTCTAAAAGGACTATCCACCCAAAAGTAGAGATGTGCACAGCGGAAAAATTTGTTTCGGATTCGTTTGTTAAGTTAACAATTTCGTCTTGTCATATTTGTTCTGTTAGAATGATTCATTTTCGGAATTAGTTTTGTATATCCCTTATGTTCCAAATGATTTGAATTTTGGAACATGGCTATATTCTTTTTATTTTATTCTGTTATAATCTTTCCTTTTCTCTCCTATTCCATTTTGAATTATAATTTCAGAAGACAGCTATATTCTTTCTATTTTATTCTATTATATTCTTTTCTCTTCTGTTCTATTTTAAATTAGAATTTCAGAAGACGGCTATTTTCTTTCTATTTCAATCTATTCTTTTCAATTTCTATTCTATTCTTTTCTCTTCTATTTGAAATTTTAATTTTGGAAGACAGCTATATTCTTTCTATTTATTTAATTCTGTTTGATAGTAAAATTTCAGAAGACGGCTATATTCTTTCTGTTTTATTCTATTTAAAATTTGAATTTTGGAAGGCAGCTATATTCTTTCTATTTTATTCTATTTATTTGAAATTCAAATTTTGGAATACAGCTATATTGTTTCTATTTTATTCTATTCTAATATATTCTATTTTTTCTTTTCTATTCTTTTATGTTCTATTCTTTTATTTTCTATTCAGTTCTTGCATAGTCTATTCCTTTATATTCTGTTGTTCTGTTCTATTTTATTCCATTCTTTTCTATTATATTGTATTCTATTCTTTTATTTTCCATTCTATATTACTCTATTCTGTTTTATTCTATTCTGTTATTTTTTATTCTATTCTATAAAGCAGCCTAAGTAGGAATCATCATCTTAGTTCACTTTTATACCTTACTGTATTTATTGCAATATGTTTCCGCTTCGAATTCAATTTCAAATTCGTTTTCAAATTCGGATAATTTGTTTCGTTATAATTTATTTTGATTTTTAGAAATTCGTTACTATTGTGATTTGGATATTCGGGTACATCCAAATCTCCTGAATAACAAAACTTTCATCTGAATTTCAATTTGTAACATAACGAATTGTACATGTCTACCCGAAAGAGATAACTTAGTTATGGGTGCCTCATCAACCACTGGCTTCTTCAGTTTCTTGCATATTCCGACAGCTCTAATTCCCAGTACTGTTCCCCTCCTATCTGGGAGATTTGGGTGTTCCCATCAACCTTTGTGTGTTTCAACATTTGTTGCATTCTGCATAATGTTATGGCTAGTTTTACGCTAGCCAGAACGGTAAATTGCAGTGCAGTCCAGATTTTAGTGCATTACACTGCTTAATTTTGTTCTTGTTTCACTTCATTTGAAGTGTCACATAGTGACATTTTATTCATGTCACTGCATAGCAGCATAGCGCGTTGCACTGCTGTTTGGTGATATGCAATGCCATCCAGTGCGCTGTCAAAAAAATGGAGACGTGCCGCATTTTTTTTGCACTGATTGCCCATCACACCAGCATTGTGGTGTAAATGTGGCACATAGAAAACAATGGTTTTCCATGCACCCTAGTGGTGACCTGTGTTTTTCCAATACAGAAACAACACAGGTCACCATACATAGTGTGAACAAACTCCAATTAACTTAAAGATCCAGCAGAGATAGCAGGACCCCTCATAATTAACACAGCAGATATGCAGGCAGAAAACTTCAAGCAAAGATCTCACCAAAAGAGTGCCCACAGATAAAAGAAAATGTTAGAGTAGTAGTGATTGAGTTGTGGCTTCTAAAATTCTTTCTTTTTTTAATTTGTTTTGTTATTGTTATTTTATTTCTCTCTTTTTATAGTTCATATAGACATTCTGTATGTTTTTGTCTCTTGGATATAACTGTTTCCCTTTCAGTTGCTAGAGTGGTGTGCAGAATACAGACACCACAGTAAGCAGCTAGACTTCCATTGTGTCTACAGCAAACTGTACTGTTGTGGGTCACTGCATTCTGGAGCAGTCTTTGCACCAACTCATAGGATGTCTGATTGTGAATCTTTTTTTTATCTTGCAGCTATTTTTAGGAGCCAGATCAGCAGGATACAGTTACATATGTCAAACTGTAGATTATTCTGATGATGAGAATGAAGTCAGAGTAAGTATTTGATTTGATTAGTGTCTTAGAACATTGTGTGATGATTTTTTTTTTTTTTTTTTTTTGTTCATGCCGTAGTAGTTTTCGCTATGGAACTTTTGTAGATCTGCATGACCATTATATATTATAATGTCAGGTTTACAAAGTGAAAAAGAAGATAATTCTAATAAATATATATGTTGTAGAACACTGAAGGCAAAGCTTCCCCCAAAAATGATATTGCAGGGCCTTTACATCCTTTTTTTTTCTCGGTGACTCCAAGATTGAGCATTTGAGACTTTAAGATGAACATAAAATAAATAAATAAATCACGTAAATTCATATTATGTGATCTGTCTTGCCTATAAAGAGCCCTGTAACTTTATTTCAGCTTATTTTGTGATCAGAAGCTCCTGCCAGACAACATAGCCAAGTCACCATTAGTAATACAGCTTTGTCCATCACCCATCCTAGTCTGTGATAGGACAATAAAAGAGCAGCAGGACACTGATGAGGACCTCAATTTGCTCTTCCCTCTTTGTTAGTAACAAAGTCTTAATTGGCTCAAGAGTGCTGACCATTACCCATGCAGTGCTTGTAGGCAGGTGGATGTCAGATGGTTGAGCTTTATTAAAATGTTTTACTTTTTAAGTTGAAGTACATGGTTTAAATTTAGAATAACCATGTAGCACTGTTTAGTTGTGTTTGCCCTGCTGAGGTGGTACTACCTGGAAGGTAAGGATTAACTCTGTTAGTGTGGTTTTCCCAGGCTTTTTTGGGAAATAGATAAAGAATGAGAGTGCAGCGCTAACCCAAATAGCGATTAAACATATGATAGACCACATATGATAGTGGATCAGTAAAATGTCAGTGTAAGTTCATCAGATGTGCTGAAAATGCATACAGTCTCCAATATGTAAAGAACCAAAAGTAGTGACTTCCAGAAATGATAATAGCCAAATAATGCACTAACCAGATAGCGCATATTAAAGCGCATGGAGCATTTAAGACCTGCCCCTGGTGCTCAGCCACTGTATCACTGGAGCCAGGAGATGTCATCTATAGGGTGACCACTAGATGTCATCTATCCGATGGAAGCTGAGTCCAGCCACTGTATTAGAGGATCAGGCGGATGTCATCTATAGGGCGACCACTAGATGTCATCCGTTCCAGGAGGAGCTGTGTTATGGATCCAGGGATGTCACTTGCAGATGTGTCCTTTGCTAAGCACAGCCCCAGGACCTTCAGAATTACAGGCTCCCCAGAAATAAAGAGCCCGTGGAAAAAGGCCTCAAATAGTGTGATATCGTTTATTAAAGTAGGTAAATAATCAGAAAAGAACTTACTAACAACGGTTCAGCTGCTCATAAACGGCCAGACCAGAGGTACATGTACACAGGGAAGTGCCAAGCATTTATATCCTGTGTACATGTACCTCTGGTCTGGCCGTTTATGAGCAGCTGATGAACCGTTGTTAGTAAGTTTTTTTCTGATTATTTACCTACTTTAATAAACGATATCACACTATTTGAGGCCTTTTATTTCTGGTTAGTGCATTATTTGGCTATTATCATTTCTGGAAGTCACTACTTTTGGTTCTTTACATATTGGAGACTGTATGCATTTTCAGCACATCTGATGAACTTACACTGACATTTTACTGATCCACTATCATATGTGGTCTATCATATGTTTAATCGCTATTTGGGTTAGCGCTGCACTCTCATTCTTTATCAATTACTTTGGAGGTTCCCGAGGTGCCTTTTTGTGCAAGCAGCTACCGTACTTACACCTATACACTGCGCTCGATTTTATATATAGATTTTATATATGTTTATTTTTTTTGGGAAATACTTCCCTCTGCTGGGGCAAACACCTAAAAAAGGAGGGACCACCTCTCAGGGCACCATAGTTGGTAAGGTGGCTGAACGGGGAACGTTCAGGTCTCCTCATCCAAGGACATGCTGCTAAGAATGTGATCCTTTACTTTGCACTTAACCCCCAACTGAGGGAGCACATTCAGGGTTCCAAGAGTTTGGACTCATGCTTTGGACTTAAAAGGACTTACTCACCTAATTAAGGTAAGCCGACCTCATGGGGCAATCAGGGGCACCAGTGGACTAACTAAGGGGTACTTAGAAGATTATGTACATGAGTGTGTATCGAAGACATCTTTGTTAAACTGTTCATTTGCTACATTAAAACAACTTCAGCAAAGAATGTTTTTTGTTATTCAACTTGGCCTGGGCTGAAGTTACTTGAGGACAACTTTAAAGGGGTTCATGCATGTATGACATATCACATGAACAGAGCTTATTAGGGGACAAGACGAGACAGAGAAGATGCAGTGCAATCGTCTAACATGCAGTGAAGCTATTTGAAGGAGGCTATATTGCCGTTGCTAATGACCACAATATTAATGTCAAGTGCACAAGCACTCAGCCAGTCGGGAAGTTGACTTGGCAAAGATGATAGCAGGACCTGGTAGTGAAAGAACTTGTATGCTTAGGCTCCTTCCCTAGCGACCAGAACCCCAATACTGGGTTTGATGCATGACATGGGGCATCGCAAGGACCCATCCTGGAAGTTGCAGAAGATAGAGTGAGGCCTCACCCGAGCATGGGTGTCGTACATGGGTCACTCTTCCTAGAATTCAAGTGTAATATACAAATCAATGTCACTGGGAGTGAGATGACAGGTAACTAGGTTGGTGGAGACCAAGTACAAGCTCAGTGGTACCAGCTCAGAAATGGTGCACAACAAAAGTGAAATAAGATTTATGAAGTGTAATGAAGGACTGATGTCCATAGTGAACAATGTGATGTGTTCTTATGGAGAAGCACCGCTTTCAAGTTGGAGTGCTACCTTAACGCCAGTCTAGCATTAAACGCCAGTTATAAGTAGTTGGAGCTATATTTATATCTATAGGAATACAGAAGGATACTAGGCCTTCATTTATATATGTATTACTCAAAGCTTTCTGCAGTTAGGTACAGAGGTATGGGAGAGGCCCACAGCAAAACCTCATGTTTAAACTTTTTCTGCATCTTCTAGACTGTTCTAGTTTCATGTACTCCAGAAACAGTGTCAGTTTCCACATAGAGGGGGTTGTTATTTCTCTAAAACAGTGGGATTTTGTTGAGTGGACAGTTGAAATGTAAATCTTCTCTACTGAAAGCGGAACTTCATCCAAAAGGGAAAGTTCCTCTTTCTGTTTTCTCCCACCCCCTCCTCTACATCTTCTGACACATTACATTTTTTGGGGGGATTGGGTACCTAGTTTTGATAGGTACCCACTCCTATTTCAGCTCAGATTGCCTAGACAGTCTCAGTGAAATTTCACCCCTCTTCTCTGCCCACTACCTTTTGGGACACATCACAGGTCTCAGAAGGCTACAGGACCATTCACACAGCGCAATGCGGCTCATGTATATGCAGTGAGAAGCTGACTTTGAAGCCACAAGGATTCAGAGCCAGATTCCCACACTAAAGAGGTTGGTGCCGGGGATCTGAAGACTGGTGAAGAACTGGCTCGGGTGAGGACAGCATGGGATCCCTGGACAGATAAGTGTCCTTTGTTGTTGCTGATTTTTAATTGTTTGTTCCTTGGGTGAAGATTCTCGGTAATGAATTAATAAATGGATAATTTGTGGTTGTTCTATCTGATAACAAAGCTATGAGGGATGTCTGATCTAGAAACTGTGTGGTCCAACAGGGATTTAGCTTTACTCTTGCAAGTATTCTGTATACAAGAACATATAAGAATGTGCAATACTTACTCGTGGATGGGTAGATTTAGAAATTGAGTTGCGGAGCTCTTACCTTCACTTATATTAGAAGCTGCTGAATGATTTTAGTAACTTCTACATTTTAAAAATATTTTTGAAATATACTGTATATTTGTGATTTGGATTTTATGTGCTCTTCTCACTTACTATTCTCTGTGTTACTTGTTACAGGTTGCTTCTGCTCTATGGTGGTACTATGTCTCTAAAGGAGTGGAGTACTTTGACACAGTATTTTTTATACTAAGGAAGAAATTTAATCAAATTAGTTTCCTCCATGTGTATCACCACTGTACAATGTTTACCTTGTGGTGGATTGGAATCAAGTGGGTCGCTGGAGGACAATGTATGTATCTCTGTAATTTTGGTAGCCTTCTATAATATCCTGGTTCACAAGTGTTTACCCTTTTCTGTTCCACACAATACTGCTCACGGCTAGTTCCTGATATTTTGTTTATGGGTGCTGGCTGTGGAATCACCAGCATCATTTTGTTCCTTTAAAGTGGTTGTAAACCCTCACATATACCCAGTGAAGTGACTAGCCTCAGGTGGTACACAGAGATGAAACGAAGTTGTACCTATCTATCTGCATCATTTTGTCCTCTACATCTGTTCAAAGTGCTGAATTTATAAAGCTTGTAGAGCTGTCAAAAAAGGGGAGGAGAGCTCTGCAGAGCTCAGTGAGGAGATCTCTCAGAGCAGATTGGAGGGAAGGGACACACCCCATCCACACAGCACACAGGAACAGAGCTGAGGCTGTCAATTTGGTAGAGGTCCCTGCCCTGTCACCATTTTTCTCTTGATGTCAGGAAAACTTGTCAGAAGTGATTCATGTTGATAGCAGAGGAATGAAGCAGCAGACAGAAATGACACTTAGGGGTTTATTACTGAGGCTGGAGAGTGCAAAATAAGGTGCACTTCTGCATAGAAACCAATCAGCTTCCAGTTTTATTGCCAAAGCTTAATAGAACAAGCTGACGTTAGAAGCTGATTGGCTACCATGCACAGCTGTACCAGATTCTGAGTGAACCAGCTTTATTAAATCTCCCCCTCCCCCACTTGCTCTTAACTGAGACAAGTACACACTATAGAGCAGGGGTATTGAATTAAAATTCAAGGAGGTCCGGTCACTAAAATTTTCTTCTGGCCGAGGTCCAAATAGGGTGTGCCCATCAGGGTGCCCCCTTACATTAGGTGTCGCCATCAGAGTGCAACTTTACATCATGTATTCCCATCACATCAGGTGTGCCAGTCAGAGTGCTCCTTTACATCAGTTGTCCCCATCAGAGTGCCCCTTTACATCAGGTAACCCATCACATCTCCACCTTACATCAGGTATTCCTGTCAGAGTGCCCCCTTACACTCCAAGTACCCCTTTCTATCATATTTCCCCATCAGAGTGCCCCTTTACATCATATTCCCCATCAGAGTGCCCATTTCCATCACATGTGCCCATCAGATGCCCCTTTCCACAGAACGTGCCCATTTGTTTGCCCCCTTAACATAAAATGGGCCTGTCAGAGTGCTCCTTAACATAAAATAAGGGGCATGCTGATAGGCACATTTTATGTTAATGGGAACTCTGATGGGCACATTTATATTAAGGGGCACTTTGATGGGCACATTTATATTAAGGGGCACTCTGATGAGCACATTTATATTAAGGGGCACTCTGATGGATACATTTTATGTTAAGGGGCACTCTGATGGGAATATTCTATATTGTGCTCATCAGAGTGCCCCTTAATATAAATGTGCCCATCAGAGTTCCCCTAACATAAAATGTGCCCATCAGATTGCCCCTTAACATAAAATAAGGGGCATGCTGATGGGCACATTTTATGTTAAAGGGCACTCTGATCAGCACATTTATATTAAGGGGCGTTCTGATAGGCACATTCTATGTTGTGCCCATCAGAGTGCCCCTTAACATTCAATGTGCCCATCAGAGTTCCCCTGTAAGACTACACCCTACCTTGAGGGCAGACAGGAGCCGTGCTGGGATCCTTGCTGGACGCTTGTGTTCAGGCAGGGAGCTGGAGCCGGAGAGACAGTGAGCTGAAAGGGGCGGGGCGCACACGTGATGTCATGTTGCCGTGATGACCGCCCTGCTTAGCGGCGGATCTGTCCTGGCGCGCTGGCAGTCCGGGCGACGGCGCTGCTGGGGCCGTTCGCGGACCGTGGTCCGCCATTTAGTGACTGCTGCTATAGAGGGATATGCTTTGTTTATATCTCATTTCTTTACAACCACTTTATGGGACTCCATTGCTTTACTGCAAAATCATCCCCACTTTTGTCTTCTCCATTATGTCAAATAATTACAACTCTGGGAGTGAGACCCAGGAAGCTACAAAGATGTAGTCCCATAGAATCTTAACAAATGTAAGCAGCCAATGGGTGGTTCAACCCACTTGTATCCACCCTAATTTAAATGCCACTTTTCAGTAGGTTGGCTCTAAACCTAAATGTGTTCTTCATCCTGGAAAACAAAATAAATGTAAAAGCTTCACAGGAAACTTGACAGTACAGCTTGTAATCAAGCAATTTGTTGTTCGAGAAGGTCTGGGGAACATTTCAGAGGTTTACTAAAGAAGTCCACTATGCCGAAGCTTGCATTTTATTTTGTTGGGTGAGCCAGTGCTGTAACTGATATCATTTTCAGTAATGCTAATTTTTTGGCTTCAGTACTTTTTGAGTCACTGGCCTGAACTAAGAACACAGTAAGTATGATCAGAGTTCCTGCTTTTCAGTGATCTATCATGTGTCACGACTGGAGAATCAGCACGAAAGACAGGCAACTTGCATTTTCAGAAGCAAGGCAGCATGGGAGGCTCATGGGTTTGATTTACTAAAGGTACCTTGCAAGTGCAGTCGTATGCTTTTTTTTCCCTAGAGCTTAGTGAGTGAGTTGAAACTGTTGATTTCCATCATCCAGTCATGCGCAAGCAAAAATTCTTTTTTTTTCCTTGCACCTGGTTGGGTATTCTTTTCAAAATGAAGCTTCACCACATTTACTAAGCTCTGGGGAAAATGATTGCAACTGCACTTGCAAAGTGCGCAGTCTATTTTCCTTTAGTAAATCAAACCCATTCTATATGTTATGTAATAGGTTTTATTTAACTGCAAATGTTCTTTCCATGGTACAGTACTTTACTGTTTTTGTTAGATTACTAATTCAAAGAATGCCAGCTGTGTGTATAAAAACTCTTCTGTCCCTGGTTTTCCCCTAAATCTAATTTCTTTCAATTCTATGATACTTCACTTTCTGCATCTGGGGGCTGTTACCATTGACACTGCCTAACTACACCTTTCTTATCTATCAGCCTAATGCTTTCTTCTACATAAGTGTTCAGTGTACAGAAATAGGATATTCTCAGTTGAGGACAACGTAAGCTGGCCGTAGACAGTTGGAATCTCGGCTGGTTCAGCAGGGACCGGCTGAGATTCGAACCATGTATGGGCAGGCTGAATGTACCCAAGATGATCGATCGGTCAACTTGGGTATGATCAGCCTGTCAGGTTTTACATGTGATTATTGCCCCCCAACCACCCTTTCCCCCGCCAGGAGAACACAATGGCTCCACAGGAGCGATTCCCCCATTAACATTGACTGTGTTGATGGGTGAATTGAGCGAAAGAAAGAGAGAAAAAAAGAAAATCGCACCATCTATAGCCAGCTTAAAACTTAGGTTGTAATAGATAGAGCCTTTGCACAGGAAATGGAAGATCCATCTACCCAAAACTTTTTGTTACCTATTGGACTGAGTTTCATAGCTCTTAAGGACAACAGTCATAAGATCTTTTTGTCATTTTCTGGCTCAGTTGTTTCCCACATTAAAGTGTACGGTGTTTCCACCCAGCTTTGTATGTTGTACTTCCGATAATACAAAAAATTCCCCACAGATCCAGCCAGTGTACAAACAGATATTTCAGAACCAGAGATATAAGAAACCATTAGAAGTTTTTTCTCCATAGCATCTATCAAAAACTGAATTGTCAGTTTCTCTTTAATTCTCTGGAGTACACAGCACAGTAATTCTTTGAGTGGATGTAGATTAAATTGGGATAAAATGACCACACTTTAAAATGTTGCCTTCCCTCTGCTCATAATCATGCTACTTAAAATTTGCTGCCGTGTCATTGAGAGCATGACAAAGGGGCTGAATTGTAGAGTTGTGATGTCACTCACTGACTTCCATGTCTCCCTGGTTGTTAGTGAGGACGAGTTCTCTCCTACCTGCCGCAGCAGCCACTTGACACGGGGAAGGAACCAGAGCTGATTATTTTAGCATTTTCTTTTCTTTGGCTTGCTGAGATGCAGAGGTCTAGTTGAGGCTGCCTTTTCACAGTGCACCTCAAGCAACTATACAGAATGACCTCAGGCAAAAAATTAGAGCCTAGAACTCAAAGGTACCCTTTACCTTCTGAAGAACAAAGAATGGAGCTTTACAGAACAGGACTGCTAGCTCCAAAACCCTCCTTGCTGAAGTGATGGCTACTGGGAGCCATTGGCTCCCACTGCTGTCAATCACAGCCAGTGAGCCAATCAGGAGGGGGAGGGGCCGAGCCATGGCTGTGTGTGTGAATGGACACGCAGAGCCATGGCTCAGGAACGTGCCTGCTTGGGTGCCCCCATAGCAAGCTGCTTACTCTGGGGGCATCCGACAGGATGGAAAGGCCAAGAGTGCCAGTGGGGGACTCAAGAAGAGGAGGATCCGGGCTGCTCTGTGCAAAACCACTACACAGAGCAGGTAAGTATAGACATGTTTGTTATTTAAAAAAGAAACAAGACTTTAGTATCACTTTAAGATGCACTGTATATTTTAATTTTCAAAATATATATTTCTTGATGTTTTGTGACCATGTGAGTTCATTCACAAATTGACTTTTTGTTAACTATGCACATTATCTGTTACAGCCTTTTTTGGTGCACATATGAACGCCTTGATTCATGTAGTGATGTACTTGTATTACGGGTTAGCAGCTTGTGGACCACATCTCCAGAAATATCTCTGGTGGAAGCGATACTTGACAATTTTACAATTGGTAAATTGCACTTTCTTTTGGTTTGGGTTATGGTAAATGCATGCAAAATGAAGCCTGTATTTCAGGATACACTGCTTGATATACTGGGAATAAAGAAAAATACTGTAAATGAGTATTTCTTAGAAAAATACATTTGTGATACTTTTTTAATTTCACTTACATTCTGAAGACAAGCTTTTTGGGTTGTTTCCTTTTTCTCAGTCCAAGTAGTACTAATACACAAAGCATCAGCAAAATGTTAAGAGCAAGAATCTCAGAAAAAAAAAGACACATACACATAACATTCACAGAGGTAACAATGGTCATCCTCATTGAACACTTTTCTAATTTATGGTTCTGTTTTGGCATTGTAGGTCCAGTTCCATGTCACTATTGGCCACACTGCACTCTCTCTCTACATTGATTGCCCCTTTCCAAAGTGGATGCATTGGGCTCTGATTGTGTACGCCATCACCTTCATAGTTCTCTTTGTTAACTTCTACTATCGGACATACAAAGAGCCCAAGGGATCAGCACGAAGTGGAAAACCTGTCCAGAATGGGAAAACGATTACAAATGGAGGAGCTTACACCAATGGTGTAGTGCATAAAGCAGAGAACCACAAATCTGGTGTAGAGAATGGACGGAAAAAGAGAAAGGGAAAATCAAAGAGGGAGTAGATGACCAGCTTCTTGCCTTATTCTGCCTGGTGATGAGGATCCACCATGACGGGTTGAAGCACCCCCTTCAAGGAGTCATTTTGATTATATTTATCCTGTTTGAGCAAAAGGTTTAAAAGCTCTTTAGGTACAATACTTAACTGCAAGCATTATTTCTTTATCTATAACGAAGCTTGAACTGATCTCAATTTATTCTTTCCAGTGCACAAGCTAGTAATGCTATTTTTAATCTGTTTTCTGGAGGGAGGAATGACAGTTTCTGTTGGCTTGTGCACAGCAAGGGAGTTCCTGCTGAATAATATGTTGCAGTAGTAGAGAGGATTCTGTAACCTGTAATTCAGATGATTAAGGGGGAGGCACAAATCACTGCTAGCAAAATAAACCAAGGGATCTCTCCATTCTCTTTTAGTTAAGCATGTCAAAATATTATGGCACATTCTCCTTGTTTAGCTGAGAGAATGATGCTATTAGGTTTAATTGCTCGCAGAATACGAAAAAAACATGGGGGCAGAATTTCTCTGGAAGAGCTAGTAGTGTGTGAAAGCCATACGCCAGCTTTTTTATGTCATGTTTATTTATATCTTATTTACCTTTTTTAACTCTTGTGTAGTTTAGAAAACGCTAATTAGAGAGTGCGGGTCTCTCTTTTTGTTTTTCTTTTTTTTTTTTTTTATAAATACGAGATCCAGAGATTGTGTGTGAGGAAATTTAGTATCTTACTTCTCATATTCCCTGTACTACTGTTTACTTTTAGCTATTGGTCCCTTAAAAGTTTAGATATCCTTTTAAATGCTATCGTCCCTAGTTCACTAGACATTATAACAAGGATGCTAAAGATTATATGAAAGAGAGAGATCATAACTCATATACACGAAATAAAACCAAGTTGACCTTTTTTTAATATTTGCTGTACATTCCTCTATCAAGTTATATTTTACTTTACCTTTCTATGCACCTTTTAGGACTCCTCTTTCCTGAAGCATGGTTGCCCTGCCTTCTTTTCAGATTTTGCTGGTTGCCAGAGGTGACCTGTAGACAGGTGTACCTGGGCTACACTTGTCAATTTTGTCACACAAAAAGGAAATGCTTAACCAGAGCAAGCAATCAGACAGATTGAGGCTGATTTCATAAATTCTGCTGCTCTAAGGTAGCACTGCAACAGAATAGAAACTGCCACTGACCACTTATTAAAATTGTACATTTGGAGTAAAATTCTGCCTTATCTTGATTGCTAAATCTGTTGCAAACCTGTGCAAATATTCCAGTTGTCTGGCCAGGATTGCAGGCTCAGGAGGTGCATATACACTGATAAACTATTGCATATACTTTCCTGAGTGAGAGGCAGCCTGATTTGCATTGAATTGTGTCGCCAATGCGTTTGACAAAAATGCTCCCCCCCCCCCCGTGTGCGCAAAGAGCAAAGGTCAATGGAGTCACCCATTGTAGGGCTGGCCACACACACAGACATTTTTGTGCAGCTTACAACCTGAATGAAAGCAATCTAATAGATTCCTTCATCCACGTCGTACAGTACAGATGAACAGATTTCCAGCTGCGGCTGTTGTATTCTGACAGGTGGTGCTGACAGCTGTCAGGATACCTAAACAGCAGCTGCATCTGATTGGATACAGCCGCAGTTCAGCCTATGGTTTCCTGCCCAGCTCCTTTAATCTTTCAATTAAAACCTGTACGGCTAGAGTGGGGTCAACTTGCCAACCACAAAACGTATTTGGGCTGTTTTATCAGAAACTGCCCAAAATTCAGCCAGCTTGTGGCCAACTTAACAGACTTTCATAAAGAAAACTGCTCCAAAACCTCAGGAAGTATATACAGGGAAATCTTTTACTTTTAGGAAAAACTGTGCTTAACTCATTTTCTTGGAAAGAGATCAGCGATGTATAATTTTCCAAATACAGCTTCTTTTAAACGAAGCATTTTACCCTAATTTTTTACTTAACACCAAAACTGTGAGAAAAGTGTAGACCCAAAATTATATAAGGAATGATGATTATTACATAAGTTGTATATTTTAGTCAAATGTTTGGTCACGTGTGTTGTAAAGAGGGAGTTTAGTTTCATGAGCCTGTAGCACAGTCTCCAAGGTTATTGCATTGCCATGTTGGAGATTGTAATGGAATGCACATATTCTAGTTCACATTTTGCATGAATGTTATTAAATGTAGGCCCAGTGCAAAGCAGACAGCATATTCCTTAGTTACAGAGCCAAAGAGGAGCAATAAACTTAATTGGAAATGCCCTAACTGGGTATCATTCCTCTAAATGCATGTTCAGAGGATAGGAAAGTTGGTCATATAGTTCACGTTCCTGCTAGAATTTAGGAATTTGATCCTAGGCCCTACTGTTGTTAGAAGGCTGTATGTTTATTAAGTTTTGAAAAACTGCCTTGTTGTAATTTTCATACAACACCTATTACTATAGGGCATGGCACGGAGGGCAAAAGTTTGATTGTACTAGGCATGTTTTCATTTTGTTCAATCAGTATTAATGCTTCTAATTTGTTTGGTTGGGCATCATTAGACATCATTTGCGGACAATCCGAAGACTGTGTTGAAAGCCGAAAATGCATTCTGAAATTTGAGAATGTCATAAATTGTATCTCAGAAGTGCAGCAAGTTTGCTGCTGCCAGTTCAAGAGATTATTCCTTTTATTGATAGTCATGTTAAATTGCTTCCATCCAGATGATGGTTGTTTTCTTTTAAAAGGGGGACTTGTGCTTATTACATGTTGTTTCCAACCATTTTAAAAATGAAAAATCTACCACCTTGTAATATGGGAAACTCAATATGCTGAATTCACAAAGCTAACACACAAGGATAATAGTTCTTATGTTACAATTACAGTCCAATGGGATTTAAAAAGTACAATTATATGGCTAAAATAAAAATCCTTATCCTTTTTTATAAAGCTTAGTGGATTGAGCCTAATGCATCCATTTATTTATTTATTTCAGGTACTTCTATAGCGCCGTCAATTTACGCAGCGCTTTACATATATATTGTACATTCACATCAGTCCCTAACCCTCAAGGTGTATTGTTATTTGTTCCAGTATGAGCCTTTCTAAAACTATAAGTTACGAACCAATACATTTAGACTGCTTGGTGAAACACACCTTTATAATTAGTGAGGGTTTTGTGTTGACAAAACCCTAGAACTGAAATCAGAGAAAAACGCTATTTGGTTAAGCAACTTGTCCTTTCATGTGTAAGAAGGATGGAAACCATGAAAAAGCAATGATTTCAAGTACAGATATGACAACCTAACTTTAATGTTCTTCATTGCCGATAACCTCAAGTAAGCTAGAAACCCCCTTTTAACAGAGATGTAATACTTCATATTTTGTTAAGAAGCTACGCACAATGTGTCTAGTATGTTTATTTATGTGTTGTCTTATCTAATATGTTTGATATGTTGGTGACAGGTCAACGTTTAAGTAAATGTGTGACAATACCATGACAGTTTAGTTGATGCAGTTATTGTCCTGTAAGAAATATTGTCACTTGTGTCTCTTGATAAGTGCTCAGTTATTTTTGATGCTTAAACTGGTTATATATTTAAGCGTGTTCCACTGAATGTAAAGTCATTGTGCAATCCTCTAATTTTTCATGTGTGCCCTCATAATAAAACTGCAGAGGGTGAGAGATGTACACACACAGTGCAGACTGACACTTGGTCTAAAGTGGGCTTTTCATTTCAGCCAGCTGTAGTTTTTACCAGATAATTCACACACAGCTGTTGGTTACTAAATATCTTCCTCTGTATGAATTTCTGGTTTTGTTATATTTTCCCAATTTTTTAATTTTTTTTTTTAAATCACCAGTTATGTTTTCAAATTTCAAAGGCCAATTATAGCTTCTAGTTCACGTCTACAGTATATAATAAATACTTGAGAAACTGCTCAGTAAATTGGTAGGAAACTGGTGAAGTAAAAACTTGATCCACTTATAATTTTAAAGTAAAACTAATGGCAAAACTTTTTTTTTTTGGGGATATGGTAAGGGAGGGTTTTAATCCCCGTCAGTTTTTTTTGTCATCTGTGTCCCATTGGGGAGATTTACCTTTACTTCGTGTGCTATACTCAAACAGGAAGTGAGAGGAAATACCTGCAAATTAAGGGAATCCGTTTGGGCCCCCAAGATCACCAAAACTAGTGTCCCCATTGGAAAATTTCCCCTGTATTCCTTTTCTGGGGACAACCCAATTTTTTTTTTTTTTTTTTTTACTTTCACATTCAATGTTAATGGTAAACAGCAAAAATAGAGAGGGTGAAACTCTCTAATGGGGGTGCAGACTGCGATAAAAACTAACAGGTGTTCTACTCCATTTTCAATCTATTAAAAACTTGTAAAAAATGTTTAACCTTTAGTTATTTTTTTTTTTTTACCTTTAGTTATACTTTAACCTCTTGGCGCCGGCCGCACGCAAATGTGCAGCCTCCTGGTGTCTGGGCCTTGACGCCGAGCGGCCGCACATTTGCGTGCAATTAAGAAAAAACATATGTGCTGAAAGTACATATGTCTGGTACTCACGGAAAGGTCTTGATCTCCTCTTTCGATCGGGACCTTTCCCAATCATGTGACCACCGTGACAGTGAGTGAATCACGGCAGTCACATGACCCTAAAACTCCAGCTTCTGAAACCCTTAAAAGGCCGGAAGGCGCCGGCGCCAAGGGGTTAAGGATAAACTCTGTGCAAGACATGAAAGGCGTTACCATTGTTGAAAGATGACTTCAGTCAATGAAACCTCAATTTTCCTTTTTTTCTTATGGAAATCATTTCTGTTGTTCTTTGTTCTATACGTTTATACACAATACACAAATTGTACAGTTTCTGCGATGTATTTATTTATTCTATTTTTTTTTATGCTTAACTTATTTACTACTTTTTGGTAACAGTATTGTCTGATGGGATGCTAAAATGTATTTAAAGTGTTTTGAATATAAGCACTGTTTTACAGGCACAAGTCACTAACTTAAGCTGGCCATATCAACTTACTAGGCTGAATGAGAAAAATCACTTGATGTCCCCCAGCCACACTAAATGCTACATTTTTCACTGCTGGCTATTGTATGCTGACAGCCAGTGTTCCAGGCTGTCAGAATACTCAAACACTTATTGGCTGCAGTCACTGTTAGGCAGATTTTTCAGTTGAAGTTTTTCAAACCAGCAGGATCACACTGTTGGAATTTCAACCAATTCACAGGAATGGCCTGAAATTCTAACAGTGTATGGCCAGTGTCAATTTGGAGATGCAAGATGGCATGAGTTTTTTTTTTTTTTTTAAACAAAACATAAAAAAAGAACACTGGTGATGTTTTACATTTTGTTTATTTAACCCTTTAGCGACGATCGTATGCATATATGCAGCCTCGCAGAACTGGGCTTTTTTCCATGGGGCCCCATATATGCATATCTGTCTTTGTGTTGGGAGCGCAATGCACAGCGTGCTGCCAGCACAAAGACCAGGCTGTACTAACAATCGGGACCCCAGTTCTGAGTCACCTAATCGCTGTGGTAGCCTCTGATTGGCTATTACAGTGATCAGTCATTGTGCAGCCCACTCCTGTGTTTTGTTTTTTTTTGCTCTCTGAATGGCAGAGATATACATTGTATCTTATTGCAGAAAGTAAACACATGTGTGTAAAAATAAATACATTTAAAAAAAATAGATAAAAAAATAGATAATAAAAAAATACCAAGATCAAGGTTAGTGTAAGGGTCAAAGGTCAAGGTCAGCAAATTTTGGGCAGGATTTTTTTTTTAAAGCTTTTTTAAAATTATTATCAGTGTCACTTGCGTCTTAGGATAAAAAAGAAGCAAAATGCGCGGTATTGTTTCTGGGCCTTACTACTGTTACAAACAACAAATAAAATATACATATGTGGTATCGTTGCGATTGACAGGAGCAGGAAAATTTAATTCGGGTTGTTCTTTAATGTTCTTTGTTTTGTTTTTTTTTAGCTCCAACCATAATGTTGGAGCTAAAGCTTTTTTTTTTTTTTTTTTTTTAAACCAGTTTACAAATTAAAGCATATTTTTAGTGTCTATGGAAACAGCCTTTTCTGTTATCCACTTTTATAGAACACTCCAGTTTGGGGGCTGCATAAAATTTATGCATAAAATCTACATCAACATGAAATTAAATTGCACTCAAAAGTGAGACTGCTTTATAGACCCAAGACATGAAACAGATAGTGGAAGGCAAAGACCTAAAATTGTATTGTGGACGATCACAATTATATTTTCTTCCTTTATAGGATGTTATAGTACTGTCTTGCTTGTCACTTATGGTCAGTAAAGCTGACCATAGATAATTCGTTTTTTTTTTAACATAGTCTGGCTGAAAAAAGACAAAAGTCCATCCAGTTTAACTATAAAAAAAAAACAAGTTATAATCCTATACCCACAGTTGATCCAGAGGAAGGCAAAAAAAACACAGCAAAGCGAGAACCAATTTGCTCCTGCAGGGAAAAACATTCCTTCCTGATCCCCCGAGAGGCAATCAGATATTCCCTGGATCAACTTTACCTATAGCCAGCAAGCTAAATGAAAAAAAAAAAACAGATTCCTTCATCCACACAAGTGAGTTGGATAATGGAAGCATCCCCTGCCAGTACCTTGTATTCTGACAGCAGGATTCTCCACTGTCAGAATACACTGATCAGCCGCTGCAGCCAATAGACTTCTGTTGAACATGGATGACCAGACACTGATTGAAATTTGGCCAGTCTCTGCTGAACTGGCTGAATTTTCATTATTCTATGGCCAGCTTAATTGGGGGGGGGGGGGGATTATTTACCAAAATAAAATTACTCTCAATGGGAGAAAGTGTAATGTGTGCAGTGGTTCCTTTAATCCTTTACTTAATATCCTACAAAATGTGCATTTTTGTCATATGAAGATGTGGAAAGTGACTGTTCATTTAAATGGAAATGAACTTCTTCCTAAAGGTAGTGTCCCCTAAGCAGGAGATTCCTGCAATGCCCTTCAGTGGGATTAGTGAACAGGAAAGCAGTCTCATCATGCTTCTCCCCACAATATTAACTCTATCTTTTGGTAAGCTCTCAGAAAAATCCATTTATACATGTGCACATCATTTGCTGTTTTATATTGTTTTGCTCCTGTTTTCAACAAAGCAGCCATTATATCATTACTGTAAATTAAAATGCTATTTCCATGTATCAAACCCTTCTTGTTTTGTGTTTGATTAGCCCCTCAAATGTGTGCCATCACATTCCGGTATTAGTATTGGTGAGACACTACTAATGCAGTTCTGAGGCAGGAGGCCAGCACAAGCTTTCCGAGATGCATTAACCTGTGACGAATGTTTCATAGCTAGGGTGGGGAGGGAGCAGAATCCGAGCACTGCATATGGTGCGATGTTTACCAGGCAGAAGCTGATGGAGGACACAATTTACTAGCAGAGAGACGCACAAAGCTAAAAATGGATAAAATATTGTACCCTTGCACAATTAGCATGTCCATTTCAGGCGCCTGAACAAACTTTATGGAGACAGGGAAGGTGTATATCCATTGCAATAATTAGAAATGCATAGCTAAGATTAGAAATAAACCTCTCAGAATGGTAAGGGATTAGCTACCTGGGCTTAAGATCTAAAGCTCTTATAAGAATTAATTCTGGACCATGTCTAATATACATTAACTTCTATTAACTATGACATACCTTATTCCAAGATTTTTATAAACCCATATGCTGCAAAGAAGTAAAATCTGCCCCAATGCCTGTTTACATAAATAGTGTTTATTTTTTATGGTACAAGAATGAAGTCTTTCTACACACTGAAACACAGAATATCAAGCAACTCTCTGCTTTAGGCCTTGTTTACACCATGGTGCAGAGATGTCAGATTTTCTGCATGCGTTCTGCAAGGACACAACAAAATAAATTGTTCTCTATGTGCCCTGTTCACACCACAACATTAGTATCACATGCACATTTTTTCTGCACAGGAATCTGTAAGGTGCATATCTCTGCAAGTGAAATCTGCGTCAGTTTTCATGCACGTATGATGTGAACAAGTCCTTAACCATTAGCCGCCCAGCCAATGGCCGTTTGGCGGCTTCAAAAGTGCATCGGCATTCCAAATGGCGTGCACCCGCACATGCGCAGTTTGCGCTAATGCAGAGCCTTGCAGCGGCGCGATCTGTCGTAGGCCGTGTACCTCGGACACGGCCGATGACAGATCTGAGTACCGGCCCCCGTTGCTGGTACCATGTGACCTGCTGTGACCAATCACAGCAGGTCACATGACAGTTGTATACAATGGATGGCTTCATTCATGCCATCCATTGTATACTAGTGCCTAGCTGTGAATGGTCACAGCTAATCACATGCACATGTCATGTGATTAGCTGTGACCAAATCACAGCTAAGCACAAAAAAAAAAAAACCTGAATGAATCGATTTCATTCAAGTAAATGCTTGCTTATAGCAAAGTAATTCTTTGCTATAAGCAAATTGTGTAAAAAAAAAAAAAAAATACTGATCACTTCCCCAAAGTAGTACAATGTTACTATTGTAACATTGTACTACTTTGGTCATAGTAAAATATGAAAAAAAATCTTAAAATTTTTTTTTAAAAAAATGTAATAAAAAATTAAAAATAATAAAAAATTAAAAAAAAAAATGTATTTATTTTTTCATACTGTCACCAGTCAGTGTCCCTGTTCACCGCCATGCCAGTTATATGATGACGCTGTACTGCACTGGTGACAGTATGTACAAAAAAAAAAAAAAATAGTGAAAATAATTTTTTTAATTTTCTGAAAAATTATGACAAAAAAAATACAACTTCAAAAAACTCGCCATTCCTCTTATGAAGTACATCGGACTGTCTACTCTGCAAAAAGGGGTCATTTGGGGGATATCTGTACTGTTCTGACATTCTTGGACCTCAAGAAATTAGATTGGCTGTCAGTACTTCAGGATTGATCAATATTCAGATCTATACCATAGTTTGTAAACGCTATAACTTTCCTACAGACTAAATAATACATCCTAATTTGGGTTTTTTTCACCAAAGACATGTAGCAGAATACATCTCGGCCTAAATTTATGAAGAACAATTATTTATTTGTAAACTTTTATAACAGAAACAAAGAAAAACGTGTTTTTTTTTCAAAATTTTTGGTCTTTTTTTGTTAATTTAGCAAAAAATAAAAACCTCAGCCGTGATTAAATACCACCAAAAGAAAGCTCTGGTTGTGTGAAGAAAATGATAAAATTTTAGTTTGGGTACAATGTTGTATGACCGCGCAATTGTCATTCAAAGTGTGAGAGCGCTGAAACGTGAAAACTGGCCTGGGCAGGAAGGTGTAAAATTGCACGGTATTGAAACGGTTAAGCATTAAGTTCCCAAATGTTAATCTATCAGAATGGATGTATAGTTGCTTTCATGCCTCGGAGAGCCCATCGAGAGCCGGCAATGTTTTCTTTATGGATGTCTAGAGCAAAAACAGGCTGTCTGTCAGATGTTAAAGAGCGGTACACTGGACACATGAAGACATCTGGCATTTTTGGGTTATCATTAATGCCATGTTTTTCAGAGGTGGGCAAACACTGTACATGGATGACGGGTAATGTGTTTAGACTCTTCTGTGGGAAATCCACAATCTCTCCATCAGTTTTGTTCCAGAATATTCCCCAGATGTGGACTCCGTATACAAACATACCTTCATGGGGTGGATCTCGAATCTAAAATGAAAATGTAATCCTGGTTAGTCAATGCAAGAAACATATAATAATTAGTCACATGGTATTCTGTTACTGGGGTGGTTTGGCACAGCTGCCAACAGTTCAGGCCATGCAGAAATGCACTTAAAAATGGAAATGGACTGAGGTCATATATACTTCAGTTTTTTGGAGCAAAATCCATAATACATATGGCTCAATATATATATAGTGGATATAAAAAGTCTACACACCCCTGTTAAAATGTCAGGTTTCTGTGATGTAAACAAATGAGACAGATAAATCATTTCAGAACTTTTTTTCCACCTTTTAATGTGACCTATAAACTGTACAACTTAACTGAAAAACAAACAGAACTTTTTTTAGGGGGGGAAGTAAACATAAAAAATTAAAAATAATGTGGTTGCATAAGTGTGCACACCCTCTTATAACTGGGGATGTAGCTGTGTTCAGAATTAAGCAATCACATTCAAAATCATGTTAAATAGGAGTCAGTACACACCTTCCATAATTTAAAGTGCCTCTGATTAACCCCAAATAAAGTTCATCTGTTCTAATAGGTCTTTCCTGACATTTTCTTAGTCCCATCCTACAGCAAAAACCATGGTCCGCAGAGAGCTTCCAAAGCATTCGAGGGATCTCATTGTTAAAAGGTATCAGCCAGGAGAAGGGTACAACAGAATTTCCAAGGCATTAGATATACCATGGAACACAGTGAAGACAGTCCTCGTCAAGTAGAGAAAATATGGCACAACAGTGACATTACCAAGAACTGGACGTCTCTCCAAAATTGATAAAAAGACTTGAAGAAAACTGGTCTGAGAGACTGCCAAGAGGTCTACAGCAACATTAAAGGAGCTGCAGAAATATCTGGCAAGTACTGGCTGTGTGGGACATGTGACAACAATCTTCCGTATTCTTCATATTTCTGGGCTATGGGGTAGAGTGGCAAGAGGAAAGCCTTTTCTTACGAAGAAAAACATCCAAGCCCGGCTAAATTTTGGAAAAACATATCTGAAGTCTCCCAAAAGCATGTGGGAAAATGTGTTATGGTCTGATGAAACCAAGTTTAACTTTTTGGCCATACTTCCAAAAGATATGTTTGGTGCAAAAACAGCACTGCACATCACCAAAAGAACACCATACCCACAGTGAAGCATGGTGGTGGCAGCATCATGCTTTGGGGCTGTTTTTCTTCACCTGGAACTGGGGCCTTAGACAAGGTAGAGGGAATTATGAACAGTTCCAAATACCAGTCAATATTGGCACAAAACCTTCAGGCTTCTGCTAGAAAGCTGAACATGAAGAGGAACTTCATCTTTCAGCATAACGTCCCAAAGCATACTTCCATACTCAAAGGAATGGCTTCACCAGAAGATTAAAGTTTTTGGAATGACCCTGCCAGAGCCCAGACCTGGATCCAATCAAAAATCTGGGATGATCTGAAGAGGGCTGTGCACAGGAGATGCCTTCGGAATCTGACAGATTTGGAGTGTTTTTGCAAGGAAGAGTGGGCAAATGTTGCCAAGTCAAGATGTGCCATGCTGATAGACTCATATCCAAAAAGACGGAGTGCTGGAATAAAATCAAAAGGTGCTTCAACAAAGTATTAGTTTAGGGTGTGCACACTTATGCAACCATATTATTTTAGTTTTTTATTTTTACTTCCCTCCACCGAAAAGATTTCAGTTTGTTGTTCAGCGGAGTTGTACAGTTTATAGGTCACATTAAAGGCAGAAAAAGTTATGAAATGATTTATCTTTGTCTTTTTTTTTTTTTTTTACATCACAGAAACCTGACATTTTAACAGGGGTGTGTAGACTTTTTATATCCACTGTAAAAAAGGGTGAAAAGATGTCAGTTGTAATACCTTTGTTGTATGTGCATTAAAGTGGTGATGTGGCACCACTGGTATCAGTTAAATTTATGTTTCTATTAAAAGGATAGTTAAAATGTATCCATTGCCTGTTTCTGCATTAATAACGATTCAATATTTGCATACCTCATGTTAAAAGCCCAGTTTAACTGGTGGCCTGTCTGGGGTCACTGCAGCCTTTCCATTTTTGCACTATTACCACAGCCCAAAAAGTCTCCTTGCCAGCAAGGCCACACATGGAGACCTCAATGGTGGATGGCTTTTGTTTTCATATTTTACTGTACACACATAGCCCCCTTTTGCGAGGAGATTATGCAGCTTCCAGAAGCCCACATAGTGAAGAATTACAAGCAACATGTACAGGTAAGTAAACAATTAGGGAGGAATGGGGGAGAGGGGTTTATTCAAAAATATATCTATACTAAAAGTACAGTTATCCTTAAAACAACTTCTACCAGCTCTTTTCCTCTACTAGAAATGCTTTCTCTGATTTCAGTGCACAATGAAAGCTTCACACAGTGTGCATTAGAAGCTGCTGCAAGTCAGATAAAGTCCATCCCATTTCCTAGCTGGGTGACATCCAGCATCATCTAGTCCTTGTCCTTCCAGCCTTACTGGTCCAAGCCTGCCCCGATCATTAATTGGATTTGTGCTCTTGAAACCATAGAGCTCAACCTAGAGCAGTTTACATGCAAAGACAGCCTAAGAATGCCAACACACTGACAGCCACCTGTCAAGGCATTGTGACATTTGCAGAAATCCTCCCAAATACCAGCCCACATCTTGCATCAGCACATGAGTACTGAGCTGGGGTGTTGAGATGTTTTCAGGAAGTTATGTATAACACTTTGCTAGCCCCTCCCAAAAGCCACGATCTGCCTGCATTGCATAGAGAACCAGTGATGACATCACTACTAGGTCTAAAATAATGTGTGTAATAAACACAGAAATGTTTATGCTCATGATATGCGGGGTGGGGCATACACCATATAAACAGATTTCTACTTCAGCTTTATACACAATACATTAGAATACATTGCCAAATTACAATTACACATCACTTACATGTTCTTTGTCTCTCTGTGTTATTTCCGTTTTAAACGCTACCGATTCTGCATTTCCAGTTCTCGCCGAGTATCTGCGAATTGCTTCTTGTTTAAGAAGAGAGAGTAGACCCTTAGGATTATGAAATGCACCAAGCCAGTATGTTGGCATTTTTTCACGCCCCTGGTGATTTAGGAATAAATTGAAATGACAGTATGAAATTAACAAAAGCACAAAAAGTCATAGTTAACAGCAATATAATGCTTCAGTGTCATGGTTTAATTGGCCAATCAAGAAAAATATAATTAAGAAATTTGGATTTAAAGAGCATAATTCTCTAGAGAATAAAACAATATGCATTATACTGTATATTATTATTATACAGGATTTATATAGCGCTAACAGTTTGTGCAGTGCTTTACAAATTGAAGGTAGACATTACAGTTACAATACAATTTGGTACAAAGAGGAAATAGAGGGATTCTTTGCTGTATTTACCAATTGGAGTATCTTCTCAAAGTGAGCTACTCTCTGCTGCACATCTTGTATCCAAGATGAAATAGACCAATCGGATGGACAGGGGAAGCTCCATTCCATCTTGAACCACTGTGTGGGAGCTTTCTTAAGATATAGATCATGCACAATTGTGATAGCATTGGGGTCAGATAGTTGATCACCTAATGTGTCTGATGATTCAAGGGAATCCTTTATTACCTACAGAAAACAAAATAAAAGTAAAGCCCTAATGAGACATTAATTCTTCTTTATGCTTTGCTAAAATAATAATAAAGTATAGCTGGTCATGAACTTGTCTTACATTCATTCACACATTTTTGTGCCACCTGATACATGCATTCATTATAGCACTCCACTACAAAGTTCTAAGGAATTTCCAATGGAAAATGGCATCTGCTCTCGATTTTCACTATGAGTAAAGGCTGTGTCACAGTCTGCCCATGGTACATAGTGCCCATATATACTTGAGCAGGCCATAGGTTGAGTGATTTCCTTTCCTGAAACCTGTGGTTGAAAGAAAATTGCTTGATTCCTCCATCAGCAGAGTCAGTGTTGATGCCCGATTCCTCCCGTGCAGTCATTGTGTTCTCCTGGTGGGAGGATCTGTCCCCACTCAGAGAACACAGTGATTACTGCTAGCGGCTATAATAGCTGCTAGCAATAATCACTTGTAAAATCCGACAGGCTGGTTGTACCCAAGTTGATTGATCAACTTGAGTACATTCACCCTGCCCATACATGGTTCAAATCTCAGCTGGTCCCTGCTGAACTGGTCAAGATTTGAATCGTTTATGTCCAGATTTAGCAGCCATGTTTTCTTCTATCAACAATGAGATATGTGAGGCTCAATTCACAAAGCCAACACACCAGGAGAGGGATACTTATTTTGTTTTAAGTGTTGGTTATTTTCAGCCAATGAGATTTGCAAAGTACAGACACATAGCTAAATTAAAAAATACTTAAGCCTGAGTTAAAGCTTTGGAGATTGAGCCTATTGTATGAGGTATTATACTGCATAAAGTATGATAATACTCACATGTAAACTCCTTCTAATTTCGGACAACACTGACGTAAGGTGTTGCAGTTCTTTCTTTAAAAACAGGTTGAAAGGGGTATCTCCACCAAGTTTTTTTATACGATCATTGATGAAATCCTTTAAGTAAAGAAATGAAATACACAACTGCTTTATTTTTGTACATACAGTCTTTAGTAACCAAAATTAGTTTTTTTTTTTATTTCATAGTAGTAAATAGAGCAACAATTTGTTCAAAATGTTAACACCATGTCCAAGGTAGCCCCCACTGGGCACAGATCACTGCTATATGAACAGGGAATGTCCAGCTATTTTATTATTTTAGATATTGTGAAAGTAAGCAATTGCAACCAAGCAATTGCAACCAAAGGTTGGACCCATTAAGCTCAGCTTTCAGCCAACAAGAGACCAGCCAATTTTACTTGATACACACAGGAAAATCATCCTGTTGGATTAAAGGTCTTTTTATACCCATCCCAAGATGGTCACAACTGCCTTCTGAGTGGAACCACATCCTGTCTATGAAACAGTTCGAGCCAGCAGAAGTGAGAACTTTTAGGCTATAGATTATATCAAAATGCTCCCTACCAGTTCTTTCATCACAAAGATGTCATTTGCAGCAACCCTGAGTATAGCCCCAGAGTGAGGATAATATCCCACACAAAAATGTGTCACCCTCTACTGTTACATTTTAACAGGAATGGGCCCTACACATTATAGTAACCTCATTGGATACATACCCGACTCCATCCACGTGGCACTTTGGAGAGAAGAGAAGCACATGTATCATGAACCTCTACTAGCTTGACTGTTTGCAGGTACATAATAGGAGGATTGGCCAGAGATTCAGTTGCGGTAAGGGTATGAAGACCTTGTACAGAAACAGGTTTCACAGCTAGACACAAAACACAACATTCTTAGTCATTTAACTACTATGCATATGTTTCCTCTAACATATATTGTGTGTATAGTATACAAAAAATGCACTTCCAAACATCACCGTGGAAAAAGGTGCAGTATTTTATGTCAGAAATATAAATATATATTCACTAAATAACATGCCATTTTGTTTACCATTTAAACCTTCATAAGGAAAAACATTGCCCATTACGCCTTTACGATAGGTTCACACTAGTGCAGAGGGATGAGAGGCCCTGATCATTAGGGCTTACAATCTCAAAGAATGAAGGGGTTCCATGGAAACATTCACTTTTATTTATGTAATCAACATCACTGGTAATTTATGATTTATGTAATTACCATCAGTGGTAAGATCAAAGTAGAAACACTGTTGCACTGTTGAACAGTCCCTTTTCAAATATCTAATAAAAGTGTGCCCACTTGGGCCAAGGAGTGATTGGGATAATCAGTGATGCTGGATCAGGATGGGAGAGGGGATAGCATTGCTTAGTGATGATGGATCGGGATGGGTGAGCAAACAATGGGGATCAATGAAGTTGAGTGGCAATTGACCAGGAGGCAGTGGGCTGGAGCAGGGGTCAGCACAGCAATGTACGCATCATTGGTGTCAGTGGGAGGAATAGTGCCCCATCATTGGTGTCAGTGGGAGGAATAGTGCCCCATCATTAGTGTCAGTGGGAGGAATAGTGCCCCATGGTTGTTGTCAGTGGGAGGAATAGTGGCCCCATCGTTGTCAGTGGGCAGATCTTTAACAGGAAGAGGTGGAGCCTAAAGAAGAAGGGGTGGGGTTTACAAATGAAGGGGGGTGGATATTAAACAGGAAGGGGTGGGACAAATTTAGATGCAGAGGGGTGCCCGATTTTAGTTTTGCCTAGGGCAGCACAAAACCAAAATACAACTGTTTCCACTACACATCAGGATTAGATAAGAGTATAAAAAAAATAAAAGGGTACAGGGTTTCTAATACACATCAGGACTGAGTAAAAGGATAGTAAAGGGTACAGGGTTTCCACTACACATCAGGACTAGATAGAGTATAAGATTGTAAGGGGTACAGGGTTTCCACTACACATCAGGACTAAATAGAGTATAATATTGTAAGGGGTACAGGGTTTTTAATACACATCATAACTAGATAGAGTATAAGAATAGTAAAGGTACAGGGTTTCCACTACACATCAGGACTAAATACAGTACATAATAGTTTTGCCTAAGGGGTACAGCACAAAACCAAAATACACACACTGTTTCATAACATAGACTAGATAGAGTATAAGAATAGTAAAGGGTACAGGGTTTCTAATACACATCAGGACTGAGTAAAACATACAGGGTACATAGAGTTTTCCACTACACATCAGGACAGATAGAAAACCAAAGTAAGGGGTACACTGTTTCCACTACACATGAGGACTAGATAGAGTATAATGAATAGTAAAGGGTACAGGGTTTTTAATACACATCAGGACTGAGTAAAAGGATAGTAAAGGGTACAGGGTTTCCACTACACATCAGGACTAGATAGAGTATAAGAATAGTAAGGGGTACAGGGTTTCCACTACACATCAGGACTAGATAAAGTATATGAATAGTAAGGGGTGCAGGGTTTCTAATACACATCAGGACTGAGTAAATGGATAGTAAAGGGTACAGGGTTTCCACTACACCCTAACATACATTAAAGCACCTTTTTGAGATGTTTGTGCTGTTTTTGCAGACTGGACCCAATGCCTGTATGTAGACCAAGAATCGTAAAGTTGGCTAAACCTTGTGATAACATAGTTTTGTTCACCGAAAGGAACCTGAAAAAAGAAGTTATGGGATAGCTGTATCAGTTCAGGTACATCATGTGTGGTGCTGAGTAATACTGTATACAAGATGCAAATTTATTACCAGTGGTGACGAGTGCATGTGAAATGATTCTGGAGCATCCAGGGAATACAGAGGGATAGATTCCAATGCTTGTTTCAAAGAGCCAGGATTTATATCGGAGGTAAAGAAAACTGCCGGAATCTTGAACTTTACTGTCAAAAACAAATTAACATGAATAAATGTATGTAATATTTATTTGAATACAGTACTTTATGTGAAACCTAGACACCACAAATTAATGAGATAACAAGAACAGAACAGAGCATTAAGAAGTCAAACGTTTGGAAGGCTTCCAAGCGCACATATGGACAAAGAAACAAAATGTAAAAAATATAGGGCTAAAATATAAAGGTTGACATTGTTGACCTCTTTAAAAAAATACTAGCTTTTTTGCTGTCTTCAGCTGACCATAGACAGGTAGTTTTTTGTTCAGTCAGAGGGCAGATGAGGTGGATGGAGGAATCTTCACTGCTAGGGGATTGTATTCCAATAGTGGAACCCAACTAGCTGCAGTTGCTGATCTACAATAGTTTTCTAGCATGTCCCTTTGACAGAAGTCAAGCAGAAATGGCCACACTCTGATCGAAGTTCATCCGGCCCCTACTGAACTGGCTAAATTTTAATCAGTCTATTGCCAGCTTTAGGCTTCAATACTTGCTGACCTGGAAAACGTATGCTGCCAGTAGTCAGAACACCTGATCTTCACACTTGTCACTGACTTTGAAAATAATTAAGCCACTGGATTAGTGTGAAACCCAGGCAATTAGAAATTTCAGTGGAAAGGTCAACAATCACAACCTACAAATATCCTTCAATGCAGATTTCTTTATCCACAGTAAACTTTACTCTTTGCAGATCATATTTCAGCAAACTCAAATGTGATTGGCGGTTTAGGATAACTGAACTTTGTACATAACTGCTACCCTTTGCATTGCCCTATTAAATAAACCCTTTGATTTTTTATACTAATGATACATTTTGCCAAACTTCTAGGCTAAGTGATCTACGTTTTGCCACGGCCTGGAAGCAAAGTATGTGAACACTCCTGGCCAATGCCTAAAAGGGGGCAGTTGGGGGGGTGCTAAAAACAAGGCTTAATCTTGCATTTTTACTGCCTTCCCCCTATCCGTATATCTAAGCGAGCCCTTGCTTGCTCTTTTTAAATTTACGAATAGCTTCTAAAACGAAAAAAAAAAAAACACTACAAAGCCAATACATTTGTAAAAGATATGGTTATCAAAGCTAAAATAAAAATAAAGAAACTTACATTTAGTGAGTTCATTGTCTCGCTTTGTAGAGTTAATGCTAATCCAGTAATCGATCATTGATGATAAAACTGTCATATCTAAATCATCTGAGACATTGCAGCCATAATTAATCTGATAAAAAAGAATACTTCACAATCTTAGAATGGTGCAATTACTTTTTATTCACGGTAGTGGTATATATGGGATCCATTAGTATATAAATCATTATGCCGAGCATGTAAAATATATTGTAACGACTGCTGCTTTCCAGTAATCATGTAATTCACATACAGTACATATACTTGTCAATTACAGTTTCAGCCTGGCGTCAGTATGGACAATACTGGTAAACAATATATTAATGAACATAATATAATGCCCATCATGAGCTACACAGAGGAGGATGCTTTTATATATGAGCTATTATATGTCTTCCAATTTTCCATCTATTATAAGCACTTTGCTTCAGATTAAAGGAAATCCTCTTTCCTCAGAAAAACAGCTGTCTAGAAATTCCAGGTCATATATCTTGGATAGAAAGAGGTAATGCGTTTACAGAATAACTTAAAGAATCCTAAACATCATCACTAGTTAGCATCTTTTCCCTAGTCTTGTTTAACTACTGAAACGGCATGCAGAGAAATCATAACTTAGGGCTGGTTCACACCAAATTCAGTCCAATGCGTATTTCTCTACATCAGAAATGCATGCACAGTGTTTTCTATGTATTCCAATGTCCCTAGTTCACACCAATGCAGTCAGTTCCAGTTTCTGATGCAGAAAGAAAAGTAGAATATGCTGCATTTTTCTCTGTACAGAGCTGTATTGGAACATAGCAAAATGCATCACAAACGCACCAGAACAGAGTGTGGTGTGAACTGTAAGCAAAAACACATTCAGAATGCATCTGGAGTGCGTTTTTGTAGTGTGAACTTGCTCTAATTATAAATACATTATGAAAATAACTTCTATTTAAAGGTTATTAACACATAGCTACTGTTCTCCAAACCCCTCTTCTCAAAGCACCAGTAAGATAATGATAAATACTTGGCTCTTCCACACCACTGGTGCCCTAAAATGGGGTGCAGCTAAAGCACAGCAGGATTCACATGAGATGACCGGTTTATAAATTGTTGTCCCTTTTCCTTGAATGGGGGATTGATAAAAGGGTCCCACAACACCTCTTACCCATTCACAGGGAAGCATAAGTTAAAAAAACACCTTCACGCTTTTACTTTCTTATGCCAGGAACGCAATAACCATGCATTGGTCTTTTGGAAGTGTTTGGTCAATTAAACTCTCCCTTTATACTGGGATATCTATGAAAACAGGGGCAGAAAGAAAACGTTTAAATCTTCCCAAGGGAGGGGAAATGTTTTCTCGAACAGTTGAAACGGTAACAGGTTTCCCCAGTTGTAAGATTTCTTTGTAAAATTTTGAATTTCACAAAATTTTCTGTCCCAGTCAACTATAGAGGGTGAATCTCCCCAACAAGGACTAAGACAGCTATAAAAACCTTATGGAATAGGAAGCCACCATCACTCTAAAATGCCTGCTAGGACAGTTTCATCATAAACACATAGTGGTCTATGTAAAATAAATTTGTTGGACGAATCTCACAAGCATTCGTCTAGATGAGACAAAATGTGACTGTATTTTACTTTCTGTACTTTGTCCGGAGCTGGGCTGTAAATATAGATATTTTCAGGCAAGACAGAACTCATACTTGTATTTAGCAGGGCATTGCTTTATCATTCTTTATATTGTTTATGATTTTTCTGAAAACTGTTTAAATATATTTTACATACCTCTGATAACAGATATCTCATGGCTGTCCATGATAAAGCCTTTCCTCCACCTTCATTATCATTGTCTTTAAATTCATCTTTAAGCACTTTGATGCCCTCCTGATGATAAGAAAATTCAGAAATATATTATAGCAATTTGTGTTCTGTGAATCAACTTTGATATCATGTTCTAGTGTTTGAGACTAAAGTAAAGTCCATTACATAGAAATATAAAGTCAATCGAATTGCTGCTCCTGGCCTTTTAGTGAGAGACCGCAGACAGCAATGAGCAAATAAAGCTCAGTGTAATGGTAAACTTAACATATATCTGGGTCCAGTCCAGCAAAGATTTCCCAAACATTACTGAAGTTTAGGTACCTAATCCAAACCCAATTGAAGTCATGGGAGCCAAATCAATAATGGCCATTTCCTAAGCTAAAGGCTAGCCACTATCAAACAAATGACATGGAAGGGCTGGGGACTGTCCTTGACAACGTGTACTAAAACGAAGGAAAAAAATTTTAAATTCCGTTTGGAGGAGAGCAATTTTGATAATGCTTAAATGATACACTGTATATAAGAATTCCTTTAAATAACATTTGTGGGGCACGCCCATAAACTGCCTGTGAAGTGGCACATCTGTGCAACGTATACAACTTGCTACAGCAAAACTGATGTTTAGAAAAAAATGCAGCTTACATTTTTGATAAATGACAGCTTCAGACTGCTTTGTACTATTTGTAAACAAAGTGGGATGAGGATCTGGTATGGATGTCAAGGAGGACCCCATGCAAAAAAATAAAAACCTGTCCTTGGGCTGAACCAGTAGCTCATCCCTAGTGCTTTGTAGTAAGCTACAGCTACTATCATTTGGTCACTGGCAGCATAGGAACAAGAAGTCTGAGTCACAGTAAAATAAGACTGAGAAGCTGCTAGTCCCTAAACTTTCACTAGAACAGTCAGTGGATGTTTTTTATAGTAAAAATAGTTTGAAGTATTATGTTCACTACCCATTTTCTCTAAGTCTGATAACTAATTTGGAAACATATATAAAATAAACAAGTACACTGCTCTGAAGAAGTCTCGGAAATGGGCTGGACGAAACACGTCAGCTGCCCCCCTCCCCCTGACATCCACATGCTTTCTCCACATGCTGTGGTGCATACCTAGACCTGCCACAGCCATACATCCATCCTTGGGCCATTTGCTAGACTTGAATTGTAGGACTGGCAGCCATCCACGGGAGTGCAGGCAGATTCTTTGCTGCACTTGGAGATCCCACCGTTATTTCAGTCTTTATCATTACAGGACCCAGAGGTCCCATTGGACTGTGAGTGCTAGCGATTTGTGATGCAACCTTAGTCATCACAAATCGCAGATCACAGGCTGGACTGGTCATACACATTCATGACGCTGATTTACTCCTTCAATACCCTCTATCACATAGGCTGGCTACCGTGCACTATAGTACTGGACTCCCGCTTACCAGCTGACCATTCTCACTCCATGGCTGTCATACCTTTGTTGGCTATTAGCTGATCGATTTCAGCAGGCTGCACCAGTGTCATTCACTTTCTCACAGCTTTTGCATGAATAACCTGTCATTGCCTTACCTACATCATTGCCTCAATTCATCTGGCTCTGGTCATACAAGAGATCATTTATACCACGTCTTGCATGGACTTTGAGGCTTTTGCCCTGTACAGTGACTTTATACCCTGTTATCCTATTTGGCCAGTGGCCATGGCCATACTGACCTCTGCATGTTGCTATATATACTAATGCTATATGATTATGCATTTATGTCTGTCGTTTAGTTGTGTTTAATATTTGTATGGTTGGCACATCTAGGAGCCTCCGGTGTGTGTAATAGGCTCATTTCTATCTAGTGGGTGTTGGAGGGTTAGGGGTGTCAGTGGGCTGGTATTATCTCCCTCAGCTCCTCTCTCTCCTTTGTGAGGGGTGTGGTGGGACTGGAGGATCCTCCATCCAATGGAAGGGTTTCTTGTGGGTGCCTGTGGGGGTACTGGGGGTTGATAGGGCTGGTGGGGTGGTTTGTGTCAGGTGTTGGGTGTTAGGGGGTTGGGTCAGGTCAGTCCCAGTGGACCAATTCTATCCCTGGTCCATCCTTGAGGGTTTCCTCTCGATATCTCGGGGGGGGGGGGGGGGGGGGGGGGTAGAGTCCTCTGTTATGAAGGATTGTCATGTCTCCAATGGCCTATAACTGTTTATGGTGCATAATAACATTCCTTTGAGGTTAGCCTTCTAGGTGTGCAGCCTTTTTTCTTTCTCTCTTTTTGTATTTGCCATTGAACACCAGAATTGGCAAGTCTGCCACTGTCACCCTGAGCTTTTCACAAATGAGAGCAGCTTCACCCTGAGCACATGTGACAGACGTGGAAGGGTCTGGAGAAGCCGTGGAGAACGTTATGCTGCCTGTAACATCATTCAGCATGACCGTTTTGGTGGTGGGTCAGTGATGGTCTGGGGAGGCATATCCATGGAGGGACGCACAGACCTCCACAGGCTAGACAATGGCACCCTGACTACCATTAGGTATCGGGATGACATCCTTGGACCCATTGTCAGACCATACACTGGTGCAGTGGGTTCTGGGTTCCTCCTGGTGCATGAAAATGCCTGGCCTCATGTGGGGACAATATGCAGGCGGTTCCTGGAGGATGAAGGAATTGATACCATTGAATGGTCCTCATGTTCGCTGACCTAAATCTAATAGAATGCTATTCAAACTACTGAGTACCATTTTGAGTTGCTGCAATGAAATTTCAGCAAAATGGACTAGCCTGCTGCATCATTTTTTCACTTTGATTTTCGGGATGTCTTTGAATTCAGTCCTCTGGAGGTTGATCAAACAATTGTTTGATTCTATCAAACAATGTGCATACTTACGTCCCTAAACATTACCCAGTCCATATCAGTAAAGATATCCATACAGATTCCCCATTGGGATCTGATATGTTTTCAAAGTGTTCCTTTAATTTTTTTTGAGCAGTGTATATTATTGCTTTACACCAATAAGTTATTATTAGTTTGCAGTTTATCCCTTTTGGTACTGGACAGTGTACATACCTTTAGTTCTGTACAGCCAAAACGCATTGTGTCTGGACAATTCCAGCCTGCTGAATATATTGATCTTAAGCGGCTAGCACAGTGGAAAAAACACAGGTTGTGCAGCAATGCCGGCCACTCAGGACGAGGACTTGACACCAGGGTTTCATTGCTGACAAACTGCCAGGACTGAATGACTCCTCTTCTAATATTCTGTAAAGGAAACAAGGAATCAATTACATTATATATAAAAGATAGTCAATGCATGGTGTTGTGCATTGTTGTACATGAAACTTAAGTATTCTTTACCATTGGCATATCCACAATAGTTTTTACAGTGTAATGAAGCAGTCTTGTTGGCAGCTCTTCACTGGCTTGAACAGATAGCCACAAGCGGAAGTTTTTGTCTGGGTTCTTCTTTGAATTTAGGATCTCCCCAAATGACATCATTACCTTGGCAGAATTTTGAATGTTCTCTAAGAAGAGCCAACTACCCTATTAAATAATTACATCAGACATAAGCAGATTATTACATTTGGATGTCAAGCTGAATTTTTGTAGATATAACATATAAAAAATCGATAAACAAAAAAATAACCTTTTTTTTTTTTTTTTTTTAGCCTATACAACATACCTTTTTATAGTATTGTTCCAGGATCCCTAAGGTTGTGATTAACCATGCAAAGTTTACAATCTGGGGGCTCTAAAAACAGCTTTTTCCACCTTCTGCATGCCTGACATAGTGTGCATAAAGAGCATTTCATTTGTGTTATTTCAGGCATTGATGTACTGTGACATGTGTTCTTGGTTAAAAATTATCTTTATAATCTATGGATAGAAGTGGTTTTGTAAAAAGTACACAGGATAGCACTGCAATGCACTTCAACTGACATAAGGCACATCTTTGTGCAATGGTTCATTTGAGTATGTTGCAGGATTGACCTGTGCTGTGTGTGTGCATGACAGACTCCATTCATCACAAGTGACTGGTGGCCATTCTGCAGATACTAGCAAATGCTTACATATAATAATGTGCCCTCTGTTTTCTAAATCAGGGTTGATGTCCATGTGTAAAAGCCCCTATTGTCATTGACATCTACCAAGGGCAACTGAAAAGCTGGTAAGGGGAAATTAAATGTAAACCTTTGATATACAGTATTCTTGTAGAACGAAACGTAGCATATACCTTTATAATTTTATTTTTAAACCATCACACAATCTAAAAAATGTTTTGTGAAGAAAATGGATGTTTTCTACGGTCCGAAAAGTTGACACAGATAATGTTATTAAGATTTATTTTCACCTCTGACATGGCATTTATGAGCAGTTCATCTATTTCCTCATCAGGTGTATTGATGGGGAATACTGTTATCTTCTGGCTCTTCCTCTCTGCAAATTCAAGGAGTAAGGTGCGAGGAAAATTACAGTCACTGCTATATATTAGTAGCCCTGGCTGATAAGGTGACATCCATGACAAAGAGGTCTGAAGATCAACAACCGCTTCTGATGTATACCTATAAATGTAAAAAATATTTATTATTTCCCTTTTAACCTTTCTCTACTTGTATTGTTCTTGCATTGCATTTCTGCCTCCATTATAGCTTTTTATAGCTGTTTATTATTATTATTATTATTATTATTATACAGTATTTATAAAGCGCCAATAGTTCGCTCAGCGCTGTACATTACAAAGGGGGACAGAACATGTGACAGAACAATACCAATACAATGCAAAACATGAGGGGATTGAGGGCCCTGCTCTTTCGAGGTTACAATCTAGGAGGGAGATCTTTACACTTGTGCATTTTTCCATGATAAAAAAAATCATAAGTCTAATACAAAGCAAATAAACTACCACTTTTAATGATGTGGCTAATCAGTAAGGAGAGTAGAGTAACAGAAGTGTCAGATGCACACCAAAATTATGCAAAAAGCAGGAACATTTATTGCCAAACATTTGTGATACCAAATTTTTGGCAATACATTTCCATGTGATAACTTGCAGTCACAAGTGCCTTTCATAACAAACATCAAAAATTTCTCTCTACACTAACCTCGGACCTGTCACGGATCCACAGTCGCCGCCACCAAACATGCGACAATCGCACGACCATGACTAACAGTAATACGTCATGCCCACGGCGTCAGACCCCAGACCTTCTCACCAAACTCGTGACCGAAGGACCGGCCGATCTAAAACAGCGGTGTGACGCGCGTAACAAGGCTCCACCCAGCTGCACCCTGCACAGCGATTGTCCAGCTAATGGGCCACAATCGGTGCCTGCAGCCTGAATGCGCTTGTTACTGGGTTGGGTTAATTACACCACTAACCCTTCACACTGCCACCACCGTCTTGAAATGTACAGAGAAGACGGACTCTGTCAGAAATACACTGAAATGATTGAAAAGTCACCTGTCCAATATGGTCAATTGGGCAGGGAGTAAACAAACACAATAGCGTCTCTTCAAAAGGCAGGAATTCGTGAATTGCAGGTAAGCGCTTAGAAACAGTTTAACACTTTCAGAAAGAAAGATTTATTACTAAAAGAGTCAAACAGGTGCCATACAATATTTACAAAGAGATATCACAAAAATAAATATATATGTATATAAAGACACAGCAAAGAGATAATTAGGAAGAAGATTACAGGGTTAAGTTACTTGCCCATATGCCTGGGTTTGCAGATCCAAGTTGCAAAGGGTCTCCCCAGGTGGTAGATTGATGTTACGCTGGGAGATCTGTGTCAAAACTCTAACTTGTCTCTTCTTAAAAGTCCCTCTCAAAGGGGAGGGGGGCTCTTACTACACGTTTTGGGAGTGGTCAGTGGGAAACTCAGTTAAAACTAACAGCTTCATAATGCATGACATGAAACACACAGTTGACCTGAGGAATGTTCAATTCTCTTTTAAGTCCGGGAGAGAAGCTATTATCTGTTTTATGATGTGGGGGCTTACACAGTTTTGGGGTCAGTGCTTCCCAATTCTCTGAGAAATGCTGCTTTATCAGACGTAGGTGAGAAAGGTTACATGTTTACCCAGACAACTGGCACCAAACCTGGTTGACCCGCACCATCTGTCAGGAGATAACATTTGCCTCTCAGGAAGGGTGGGAGGTAGGGAATGAGGGCTGAGAAATAGAAAATATCTCGAAAAAAAAGAGAAAAAAGGGTTGAAGGAGAACTCCGCTCCAACTCTGATGAGCAAGTTTGCTACAGGACCTACCGCAAATTTACAGACAGCGGTGCCAATGTCAACAGCTATGTGGGTTTCTCAATTCAATCTTCAGAAAAGCCTTAATAGTTAACCCTGTTTTAAACCCTATGCCTTCAGGAAGAACCTACACACCTTATTTTTTATATATCCTATCATACTCTATGGTATGCTGCTTGACCATGCAAACCCGAGTATCCCCTATTTTATCTCTGCATAGGAAAAGGACCTAGGTACACAATTTTTTAGCAGACAAAATACAGAAAGGGTTCATATTGATACATAAGGCCTGTGTCTTGGTAGCAGCTCAGAAAAAAAGCTACAAGATCCTTACATGGTGGTATAGGTATATTGTGAGGATCTGTATCTGAACCTAGGACCTCTGATGTGCCTGACAGTGACTTTTCTTACTGAGCCACCTAAGATCTGAACAGCTCCTGGCCTGATCCCTTGGATAACCTTCTTTGCATCTTGTTTCTGGTGAAACTTCAACTCCTTGCTCCTCCTATGAACTTTCTATTTAGGCCATGTCTATGCACTGTTTGCCAGATTATTGTGCTCTTCTCCAGCCAACATCTTGCTCCTCTCCTGCTGCCATCCATATATTCACTACCACTTGCTATAGACCTTTTGGCTTGTTCATTGACTATGCTTCTACTTGATCTCAACCTGCAACTACTTGTTACTGACTTTTGGTTTATTTATCGACTACTCCTCTGCTTGATCCCTACCTGCTACATCTTTTTCCGGACCCCGGCTTGCTCATCTCCTGGAGGGGCAACCCTGAGGATCAAAACTTGGCACTAGCACACTGCAGAACCCATCTTCACCATCAGGAGCTCTGGTGAAGACTGGTTAGTGCTTAGACCACATGCCTCAGGTAAGCCCGGGTCACCTGTCAGGGGGACCTACTGGTGTATTTATCCTGCTGGTTTCTGTGTGAGTCTTTCTACTGCTATAGCTACTGGCCTCCAAGCTTGACCCCTGATCATGACATACCTCCTAATGCTATATAAGATTTTTCCCTCAGCGCCATTATGTGCTGGAGATGTGGGAAGGCTATGGGAACTTTGCTATACACTGGTGTTAATGTGCACTGATTGAAGTCTTTTGGTCCCGTATCTTCCAGATCTATGAAATGGTCATGGATGCACACACTTCTGCATCCCATTCTATGGTTTTACTCTCCATGCTCACTTCTTCTTACTTGCTGCCAAGAATATGATCATGAGACACTGGAAATTTACCTCCTCTCCCACCATTTCTGAGTGGTACATTGAGATAACCTGTCTTATGGTCTAGAATAACCGGCAGCTAAATTATATACTACTACTTATATGTTCACATAGAACGTATAAGTCATCTTCTCGTGTACTCCACACTTCAAAACCATTATTTGATAAACACTTGATGCATACTTAATGTATATTACCTCCCCCATCTAACCACCCAACATTCCTCCCCCTATTTGTTGTTCTTTCTTTTTCCTACCCACTTTTGGCTTCACCCTACTATTCTATTTTATTCTCATCTGTTCACTGTTACTTCAGTGTATCTTTTTTCCTTTCCACTTGGCATTATGAGCCTGGACAGAGCAACTGAGCTAAAATCCTCTTGCAAAGTTGGTAATCAATAATATCTTCACAACACTACAAGAATTATCATAGGGCCAGTGCTTTAAAACAATTGCTGCATTTGGCATGGTGGGATATGGTGGGACATGGTGGGATATCTATTGCTTAATTTTATTTCATGTTTACTTTGCATTAAGGTTTGAACATATGCATCTATTAAGAGATTGTCTCTGTATGCGCTAATGTGCTTCCTCTTTTCTCTGTATGTCTTTTAAATAAATAAACCTTTATTCTTTTAAAAAAAAAAAAAAAAAAATGTTCCTGCTTTTTGCATAATTTTGGTCCACTGATGATGCTTTTATGATTTTAATTTGTTAATGCTTGTCATTGCAGCACCCACATTTGAAGGTGTTTATTGCTTTAAGGAGTGTGCTGGATCATATGAACTTATATTTAATCAGTAAGGAGCTCTTGTTAACGACCCATGCATTGCAATGCAGCATTTAAATTTGCCAATTCAATTTATCAGAAAGAAATACAGTATATGCAGAAAGCAGAATATGCAGTGTACAGTAATTAAGAAATAGGTTGAACAGAATATTAATGCTTTCTATACTAGTAGCGTATGTTATTTATCATGGGAAAAGTTCCAATGAATATTTCATTGCTTACTTACATCTTCCCCAGAATTACACTGATATAGTTGGAAGCTGCTGGCAGAATCCTGTCCATCCTCACAGCTCGTAAGATCAGCAACCTATGAAGGGCATTAAGTCCATCCATTCCATCAGGCCATTTAACCTTAAAAAAACAGGTATTATCATGTCCACTTTAATTTTACAGTTGTAAAAATCAAATCATTTTATTCAGAAAAAGCATCTAGAAAAAAATGGAAATAAAGCAGTATATTGACAGGATATGTTCTAATAGCTCTGCAGGACAATTGGGGTATCTAAAGTATTGGTTTATTCAAACTAATTAGTTCACCCATCCTCCTAAAATACAGCAGGGGACAATTATCAAGCTAGCAATACAATTATCTCATATCAGATTGTGTCTTCTTCAGCAAACTGCAAAAAAGTTTACAGACCTGTGTGTGAGACAGATTTATTACTAAAGATGAGACGCAATTTTACACTAAACAGACAAAATTAAGAAGTGGTAAGGGTCAGGTATTTTTCAGTCACAGTGCAGCCAAGGGAGGAATTTTTATTAATACTGCCTCACATGCATCTTTCTGCACCTGTTTAGGGTGTCAGAACTGATAAATATAACCTACTATTTATTTGTAGTCTAAATTTCAACGTACAGTAATGTAATTTACCAGTGTCTACAGATAAGGGCAATATACTTGAATAAAATCACAAGCAAAATGTGCCTTTTCAATAGTTTATTTCACAAAAATATCAACAGACGTAATGGTATACTGTGGAAAAAATAAATAAACCCTTGGCCTCAGAAGCTGATACTGCCCTTTTTAGCAGAAATGGCTTCTTGTGAGAATATTGCATAACTGTGAAATAGTCTCTGACATCAACTCACTGATTTCTTTTTTTTACCACTCCTCCAAGCAAAATACCTTCAGTTGCAAGATGTATGCAGGGTTCCCTGCACCAACCACCCTTTTCAAATCCCAAAACATTTCAAAATGATTTAACCATAACCCTCCATTTGCTTG